ATAAATTCCTCTCATTATGATACTCTTTGTATTACAATTTTGGGGCAGGGAATTTGGGCTATAACTTTAAGCTATAACTTACATTTAGGCTACAACTTACTTAGTAATGGCTATGAAGACTAGAGATAAGGAGACGAATCGTCATACCGTAGAGCGGTGCTACTTTGCCCAGATTTTAAACATTATGGACAACTTTACTTTAAATTGTAAAAGAATTTGCGTTGTTTTCTTTCTGTCTTGAATTTTGATGTATATGTCACAGATACTTCTGCATATAAATTATAAATTTTGAATTTTTATAATTTTTTGTATTTTTTAAAATCGTGGCAAAGTAACCTTCGAATTGGTGTTACTTTGCCATTGCTAATAAAATAAGTGAAAACGCAAATTATAACGCATATTGGTGTTTCTTTGCCTCATAAATATGTTTTTAAAAATTATATTCAACATATTGTAATGCGTTGTTGCCAAATAAAACACAAAATACCCAATTTGTACTCTTTTATTTGAACTATAAAATGAATAAGAGTATCTATTCTTAAAAAAATAAAAACATTATTCCTAAAAATAAAAAACAAAATTATTAAAAAATGAAAAAGATCATTAACATAAATTTATAAACTTGTTGAGGTTTTAATCAAATTTGTGAACACCTCTACGTTTAATTGGTGGTCTTAACACTTTTACAATGTCTTCTTGCCGCATCACACCTATATCATCGACGGTGGGGAATACGAACGAAAAATTATCATTATTAATATTAGTGCTTCTTAAAAATTTAATGTTGTAATTCTCGTCATCTATATTCAAAATCAGGCCGATGTAGTGTTTAATTGTTTTTTTAGTGGAGAATTTCACGATAACAAAGTCTTCAATTTTAGGTTCTGTCATGATTTCAACGTCACAGCTCTGTTCTTCATTCTCCATAAAATTTTCTTCATTTTCAATAACATTTTCTTTATTTTCGTCGTCTTCCTCCACTTCTATTTCCAACTCTTCTAATGTTACATCATCGTCTTCGACAGAGACTGACATTCCGGGCACAACTTTTAACATCTTTTTTCTCCCTTTCTTTACATTTGTAGGCCCTCTTTTTTCCTTTAAATATTCCAGAAGGGCATTGTCTATTTCACGACCCAAATTTTCCACTGTTTGATTAGGAAGTCTTTTTATCACCTGTTCTCTATCCAATGGTATGATTCCCGTTGCACGAAATGCATTTTTTATGTTGTTAATGTCGGATATAGAAAGTGCATCACACAATTTTCGGAGGAGTCCAGGAAATGTTGTTTTATTTAGGGCTGACTCTTTAGGATTTCTCATTTTATAGTCAGTGAGAATCTTCCTCCAGTGTCTTTTCAAAGGGGCGTAATAACCTACATCTAGGGGTTGAGTGATGTGAGTTGAGTTCGGTGGAAGGAACACGAAACTGATATTATTTCTGGCACATGCCACCAAAATATCAGTATTAAGGTGTGAGGAAAGATTATCACCTATAATAACCTTTTTACCCTCCTTTTTTCTTGCCCAAGGAACAGCTATGGTATTAAACCAGTCTTCGAATATAAAGGCATCGAACCATCCGGACTTGCTGCGGTTATATCTTGTTCCGGGGGGTCCACCAACTGTCCATAAATCATATAATTTTTCCGCTTTGTATACCACATACGGTGCTAAAATAGTCCCATCACCAGCTGCTGCGATCATGATTGATATGGCTGCCTTTGTCGAATTCAAAATTCTTTCAGGGTATTTTGTACCCCTTTTAAAAATACATTTTGTGGAGCCTGGACTGTCGCTTAAATTAGTTTCGTCGTAATTCAAAATCCTGTCAGGTGTAACATTTTCCAACGTCCTTCCCAAATTATCGAAATAAGCCTTAATTTCATCTTCTGATTTTGCGGCCCTGGCTTGTTTTATATTCTGACATATTCTTTGTGTCAGTCTGTGTTTATGTCTGTCCAGAAAATTTAGACTCCAGTCTTTTCCTGGTAGATTATTTGGAAACTTGAGAACTTTTCGACCGATTTTATCTAGAAACCTCTTAATTAGGATTCGCAAGTCCAGCTGTGTAAGTGGGCTTCCAAATTCTGCGGCAGCTAGCAGCACATCGACAAAATGTCTTTCTTCTACTTCTGATAAAATAACCGGGCGTCCAACATTTTTTTCATGTTTCTTGTTTAATTTATTAAAGAGCGTTCGCCTTGGTATATTATAAATATTTGACGCTTCGGTACAGGAAATTCTCCGAGTTCTAATAGCTGACAGGGCTGTTTTAAGTTGTTCTTCAGTATAGTGTTTATACCGTCTGGCCCCCACTTTTTTTATAAATGCGTCCCATTTTGTATCTAAAAGTACAAAAAAAAAGTGTAAGTCCACAAAACTGCAAAAATATATGGGTGGCAAAGTAACCCTCAACGGAACCCCAAAATAAAAAAAAAATTGCTACGCCGATGAGACTATGAATATTATTTTTTAACACGGCTGTTTTTAAAAGTTAACTATCACAATTCTTCGTAGTAATAATAAATTTAATCTAATATATTTGATTTAGTCGGTATAAAGCTTAGTTTTCAAAATTTTAATAGAGTATATTTTTCCCGAAAAGTTTAATTGAGATGTAACTCACCTTACACACTCAGCGTCTGTATACAACTAGCAATACCACTTCTTCCAAATCTGCCGGTAAGTGATATGAAACCCAACCGTCGGCAGCGTTGCCGTTTTTCAAAATAAAAATTACTTTTAATTATGTTGCACTTCCTTGGCAAAATAACCCACCAGTGCAAAGTAACACCGCTTTACGGTACTCAAAATACGGTCCCACGCATGCTAATTAAGCTTCTATAATTAACCGCATCGGCGCTGGTACTGCATACGTTGTTCAAAATACATGGCTTCTTATGGGAATTTTACATAATTGTGTCAAAATAATAAAAATAAACTTGTTTACAGCTAAATAAAGCACAGAATATACTGTTGTATTTATTTCGAAATAAGTCTTGCATGTTTTAATTGATAAATTATTTAACTTTATCTATATAAAATAAAAAATTAGGTATGTATGACCAAATTTGAAATTTGATAAGTAAAATTTTGTGGCAATTTTTTTTTTTGATTGAACCAATATATTGTTTTAAGAGTGAAATAAAACATAGTTAACAGATTTTTTATTGTTGTAATATAAGTATAAAGGGAGATTTGGGAATGTACATGGTATTACCTCATCCTTTAATTTCAGCTTTCTCCTTTTTATTTTGCTAACAGTACCATCAGTAAAAATAGTCTCATAATATTTGATATCTTCTAAAAAGTACAGAACAGCATCATATCTACAAGTGCTTTATGGACACTAGGAACGATATATATGCTGCCACTGTTCTAAACGTTTAGTACCCTATAAAAAAATTTACAATTTACACTTAGGGTCAAAAAAAAAAATAACAGTAGCAATTCTTTATCTAACATTAAAATTCTATAAAAAATAAATTTTCTTTTCTAGTACGTTAAATTTAATGCATAATTATTGTTGTTTGTAAGTCAGCATCTATAACTGTAAAATTTTATATTATAGAAACTTATAATAAAATAAACTACACTTCGTAAGATACATATTGTGACTAGTTTACACTAAATATATAAATAATAATAATAATAATAATAATATAATAATAATAATATAAATATAATATATGTAAGGTTTTAATTATTGTGTGCTATTTTAGATGGAAAATAAGGACCAAAATAACATTATTACTAGGCAGTAAGTTTTACTAAATTATATTTTTATAAGTCACCCTGTCCTTTAATAGATAGGTATAATCTTTCAATAGTAATGTATATTATTGATTTTAAAACCAAAAAAAGCTAAAAAAAATCATTCCGATTTCTCAATTAATAACAAAGAGAAGAGCGAGTAAACAGGAACTGACTGTTGACTGTTTTATTTCAAAAAAGGGGATATGTATTCTATTTTCTCGCTAGCAAAAAAGTCTTTACCTCTCGGAAGTCCAATGATCTAATTTGTCACTGAGCAACTTACTGGAAAAATATCGATTTATTTTAAGTGTATTTTTATCACGTTCACACTTTTTCCGGGGGAGGCACTTCGAGACCATTTCCAAGGGGGGGGGGGTGGAGGGGGGGGGGAGTGGCGTAGTCGGTGACTATGAGCGAGTGGAATATTTGAGGAGTACCAATAATAAAAATGGTATAAAGACTTCTTTAAAGGTAGATAGATAATACATTCCTGTATTTTCCCCTATATTCAGAAATAATATTATTATCCGATATGGCAGCCATTTTGACAGCTGACAGAACCGTAAATTTCCCAGAAATTAAAATTTTCAATAAAAACTGGGGAGTTCCATGTAAAAATAATCCGAAATCTATTAATATAATGACTTCTTATTTTAAAACGTTATGGTACCAAACACTGTTACGCACTTGCCCAATTTTTTTTATGTTATTGATTTTACTGTCAAGTGCCCTTCTGTTTACTCGAGCAACCTCTTCTACAGACTCCCCGTTGCCTTTTTCTCACTCTGGTTGATTCCAGGTATTTTTTTCCTTTCTAATTGTATAATATACTCACATTTGCAGTGTCTTACTTTATTTGGTTTGAATGCATTGGTTTATTATTTATTTTTACTTTTAAAAGCCTAGCCTAACTTTTATATAAAAAATATTAAGAAACTATCTTATATATTACATAATATTGCACAGAAATATTCAAGTGTCAAAATTCGATAGAGTGTGAATAATAAATTGGCACATAAAAATTGCTCTAGATTATGGTACGACTAATTTAATGCTAATTATTTAGAAGTTCTAAAAGCGGAATAATGCGCAATTGATCTTAAATGTACACAAAATTATTAAAAAAAAAAAAAAAGAACAAAATATGTTGATCTCATTGATTTTGATTAGGAACATTTTCGTTCAAAAACGTATTGTTCATTATATTTTCATAACAATAAAATTATTAATTTTATTTTCAGATAGGATTACAGACTCCTTGTTTGTGTAAACATGGAGACCTCAGAGATAGCGGAGTGGTACAGAAACCAACACGTCTTCGTTACTGGAGCGACTGGATTTATGGGAAAGATTCTTATAGAAAAAATACTCAGATCATGCCCAGACGTAGCTGCAGTTTATATTTTAATTCGGCCTAAAAAAGGAAAAGAAGCAGCGCAGAGACTGGAAGACTTCTTCAGTTGTCCGGTATTTATTTTTTATTTATTACATACTAATTTCTTTATTTATATATATCTACTTAGGTAAGATTTAAAATGAGTGGGATTATCTCATCGCCTTCTATTGCCATCCAGATGGATTTATTGTGGCTTATGTCTAACTTATACCATATCTTTTGATGAAGCCCATGGTTGAGTTGGGTGAGACTTGTTTATAATCAGTGGGCTCCTGTCAGGTGAATCCGAAGACCTGAAATCTAGTGATCGACGGATTTGTCTTCTACACTGCAGAAGCAACAGTACGATGTTTGTTGCAGACCTATCCTTTTCATGTGGTTAGCTAGACAACAATGTCATGTCATCAGTCCCGTAAAAATGAGTAGATCTTTCCTTCTCTTTCCCGGATCTGAGCAGAGGTGTTCATGAAAGGATTGGTTGTAAATGCCTTCGAATGTATTAGCCCTTGGGGTATCTCTCCAGTTCGTGAGAGTTACACCATCCGTCTATTTTAAGATAATTTCTTTTACAATTTCCAGGAATGAGTCTGGTTCTTATTTTAGCAAGAGCATCCTTTTTTTGCATTGCCCTCCACAGTCCTGTGTTCCAGAACCTAGACCATAGTCACTATGGTCCTATCAGAAATAGGGCATCTAGTGATGCCTGGGCGACGTTATTAGCCTGCAGTACTCTGACAAATTACGAGGCTGGCTATTTTTATATGCATATCGGCGACTTTTGCACTACAGACTTTTGACGAGCTTAGAGGCAGCGATGATTTCTGCTTGGAAGATCGAGACTATAATGCCCAGATTTATTAATACGTCAACTCTTGGCTTCTGTCCAAAAACTACTTCTTTCTCAGTTGTGGAACCGTCGGTGTACAGTGCATATTCCGAATAGGAATCGGTTTTAACCCATTGCTCGATATGTTTCTCTCTGGAATGAGGACATTCTATGATTTTTCTATATGCTGTCGGGGAACTAGCAAGTCTGAAACCATACCGAGAATGTGGTGGTTATTAATTTAGTTTTGTTCTTTGTATTGACCTCTTTTTCCAGAAAAATGTGGAGAAGCGATAGATCCAGCATGGTCTTCATGGCTCTTGTCGGTGTGGTTGACATTGTCCCAATGATAGCGACATAGACAAGCCGCTGGATTTTAGCTAGCTTTTCTTTAACCGTTCGTTAAAGTCTCTTTTACCTACTTAACTGTCTTTTTTAAAACTGTAAATATGAGAAGGTTTGAGTATTAGGTTTCTTAGTTCTTTAATTAATTTTATCAGATCGCTGTAATTAATTGAGAATGGTTACATATTACATCAATGTACGATTATCCACCTATCATCCATACGGACAATTAATTGTGAGAATGGTTTTGAAGATTTTACAGTTTTTACTTTCGAGTTTCTGAAGTAAGTAAAAGTATGGCAGGCTTATTATCTCTATTTGCTACCTAATGACTACATTCTCAGAAAAGTTCCCAGATCACCTATAGAAAAGATTTGGTCTACTATGTTCTATATATAGATGGCTTCAAATATGCAATACGATTGTGAGCAGAAAATTTCAACAGAAAGCCCAGTGTTGAAATATTAAAATTATAATATTTTGCTATCGATTGTTGTTGGTTTCTTTTTTTATTTTTGTACACCATTTTAAAAAATTTGAAGTGGTCTTAAATGAATCCCCCAAAAATATTAAGTACGGCCCTAAGGCACGCTTACCAAAATGGAGATGCTGCCTGCAACCATCTCCATGTGAACAATGAAAGCTCAACATATTGTAAAACACTTTATTGTGCACAAACGCTGCATGACAAAACTTTGTACATATTTACATTTTCACTTAACTATACAACTACTACTTACATATTTTAGTACTAGGACTCTACATTGTATCGTTGCTCAAAGAACTTAGTATTCGTTGTGTATGTGAGAGACAACCATTACTTCAAGAAGGCTTGAATCGCTCTGCTGACCTTTTAATGTTTTAACGAAAGAAATGGACAAATGATTACATCACTCAGACCAGTTTAGCGCGAGAGTTACCTGATGTTTGTCACGTATGCCTGTAAATCACATTGTAAATAGCCGTTGAGAATAAACACCTGGCTTTTGAGCACAGGACCGTCTTTTATACTTTTCAAAATTCTTTATTTTGGAACAACTACCTTGTCAGATATTTATCAATTAGAAATTTTATTCAAACCATAATTATTACTATTACAATCCCAGGTAGCAGAAGTCTGTACCAGGGATATCCTGAGGATATCCGATAGGATATTAGTCTATATCCTCGGGATATACGGTTTCGCCTATGCGATATCCCTAGTACATCCTGAAGATATACGATGTTAAAAGACGTGGGACGTCCTCGGTATATTTCAATACTTTATTACCGGGATATTCTCCCAATACTTTATCCCCGGGATATCCCGTATACTTTATCCCCGGGATATACACTGCACTACATCCATAGGCTATTAAAAGGATACTTAAAGGGTACATTGATTAATAATTTATGAATAAAAGAGATGTTCATTTAATTTTTTTTTTATTTTAAAGGATTATGTTTTTGAATGGGAAGCTAAATTTTTGTGTCCTATCTTACCGCTCTTTCGCCCTCTTGAGCCATGCGGCAATTAACTTCTCACACTCTTTTTTTGACGTTATTTTTGCTCTCTTATCTGCTTCTGCAAAAAAACAAACTTTCATTATTTAAGGATGTAATACACAATTTACAAGAGAACAAATAGCAATAAATCGTTGATGCAAAAATATTTTTTCCTGTGCATTTTATTTTAGTACATAAACAGTGTTTGTCATATTTGTCATAAAACATTGGCTTCGGTATGTTCTGTGGATAAATTATTGGATATTTGAGTAGATGTGTTTGTGATTATCACATACTTTGATTTTCTTTTACTATACGGAGAATGGTCGCACTGCGCAGCTTTCTGAGTGCCTTTTAAAAGGAGATAGAAAACTTCGCCATTTTAAACCCTTATTACGTGTTGCCTACTTCTTGGCGCAATATTTTTAATAGGTGCGTTTTAATCATCTGCTTCTGCTTCGGAATTGTCGGTTTTCTTGTTTTAATCTGACAGGTTAAAACGACTAAACCGACAATTCCGGAAGCAGAAGCGGATGATTAAAACGCACCTGATATTTTGCTTGCTGCTGTCAGTGTCAGTGAATATTATTTTTTAAGTCACAGTTTATTGCTAAAGAATCAGTTAGCTCACTCGGACCAGTTGAAAGTTCCAAAATAACATCAACTCCAGGGATACAAATTCAGGATACGCAGAAGACTGCTGTTTTATTATAGGCGGTTGTCATATATTGTATTATCCGAGTTGCACAGTGTATAAACTGAAACATTGAGATCAAAAGTGCCGACGCAGAGTGAGCGATCTGATTCTTTAGCTGTAAACTGTGTCACAGGGTTCAAAATGGCCGCGCCCTATGTTGGGCGTGTCGGACCTCTCTCTTGCCTCGTATAGTAATCCTCCGAGGAATTGCTCGGAGTAGTAATCAAGGTATGTGATAATCACCACATACATCAGACTTCTGCGTATTCTGAATTTGTATCCCTGGAGTGGATGTTATTTTGGAACTTTCAACTGGTCCGAGTGAGCTAACTGATTCTTTAGCAATAAACTGTGACTTCAAAAATAATATTCACTGACACTGACAGCAGCAAGCAAAATATCAGGTGCGTTTTAATCATCCGCTTCTGCTTCCGGAATTGTCGGTTTAGTCGTTTTAACCTGTCAGATTAAAACAAGAAAACCGACAATTCCGAAGCAGAAGCGGATGATTAAAACGCACCTATTAAAAAATATAAGATGTAGGCAACACGTAATAAGGGTACAAAATGGCGGAGTTTTCTATCTCCTTTTAAAAGGCACTCAGAAAGCTGCGCAGTGCGACCATTCTCCGTATAGTAAAAGAAAATCAAAGTATGTGGGTGATTATACTGATCAAGGAGCTGTTATCAAATGTGTAAGAACATGATTGGATATCTGGTGTTGACACTATTTCCAATGTTTCATTATTTTTAATTTCAGAGGAACTGTTGCAATTCACTGACAAGACCTCCAAATTTCACATGTGAAAAGGTTCATTTTTAGTTACGTTTAAACTACGTTCTAGCGGAACGTTTTGAACCGAAATTTTTTGCCGTTTGGCTCGCATGTAATATTTGTTCATAATTATACTTAATACTGCACCTACCTGAACGAACAATCACAATATTGCACAATATGATCACAATTTTCGTTTTTTTTACGAACTGCACGCTTCGCTTCAAAAAATTGTTAGAAAACATAACCTTAAATTTTCTTCCGATCCGATAATATTCGAAAGAAAAAAGAAGAAACTGGTCTCGACTTATAGAACTAAGCAGGCAAGTCCTTCTCGTTATATATAGGATATACCTGGTATATAGGTATTGCTACATCTTTAGGATATACGAGGAACGTCCCGGAATATGCGCTATGCATAGGATATTGACAGGATATCCTGGGAAGTTGTGGCTATCTGATACAACTTAAACTAAGGTTTTACTCAGTAATAGTTTCTGGGTTCTAGTTACTTAATTACACTTAGCTAATTTGTACACCATAGAACTTTACTCTGATTTTTTACTCATAGGTTTGTTCCCTTCCCAACAAACATTTTGTGTAGGGAAATTAAAGGCCCAATAACTGTCACCCTCTAATTACATTGATGGCCATTTGACTTTTTTAATTAAAAGGCCGGCATATATAGGTCATTACGGCCGACAGTCGGGCCGAAGTCACTTTGCTATCATAACCAATTAATGGTCCTTCATTTCCCTTTTAATGCATAGAAATAAATATTTTGGCAATTAATGGCCTATTGATGGGAAGTTATCGGGAAATTGCTGGCCTTTTACCATTAATACAGCCATGTGTCAGTCACATGATCAGACAGGATATTCGATGGTGCCTCTTTGACGACTAGTATCGTTTGAACTATAAATTATATACAAAAACAGAAGGCATTTTAATATATAGAATATTGTACACATTTTATTTAATTCAGCTATATAATATGTTTTCTGTAAAAAAATTATTAATAAAATATTCTAAATTAATATGTAAAAGTAAAAAATTACAATAAATACTGATTACTGAAAACCAGCAATGTGAGACTGGCCTCATGTCTACTCGTTGGGTATGTAACAAGTGATCATCGGTGTCTCCATCTATGAACGCGGGGCGGAGCCTTCCTGGACTGTTCGAGTTGGGTGTGCGGCAGTTAAAAGCCTTTTGACTTTTACCCTTCATAAGGCCATTATCAAGCAACATAATGCTGGGCCACTATCGAAAGGCCAAAAGTAGGCTTTTATCTTTTAATCGTTGTATTCATTTTCCCTTCAATTACAGCAAAAGGCCAGCAATATCCCGGAAATTTATTGTTTGTTGGCAGTGGCGGCTCGTGAGGTGGTTCACAGTGACAGAATATAATTATCAGTACAGATGTATGAAAAAACTTTCAGTGTTTTAGAAAGTTTATAATATACCTTTCTAAAACACTGACAGTTTTTGACCTATATCTGTACCGGGATCTATATTCTCCTACTGTGAACCCCCAAAATTTTGGTCACGAACCGCCCCTGTTTGTTGGGTTCGTATATTGTGACTAGCGTCAATGGACTTCTGGTAGATTTTTTAATAGTGTACATTTTCAAGTACTTATGTAAGTTAGTGGGACTGTAACGTTAATAATGTAATTGTTTCCGAAATGTTATGATGTGGTCTTCCTTGGTTATTACTAGCAAACGTTTCAGCTGCAACTACGGCAGCCATCTTCAGTGCATGGAATTTTGTAGACTCCTGCTGATGTGAGGGGGTCTCTGCGGTCTTTCGCTATTCTGAAATATTCCCATATTTTCTTTGTTGGCTTGTAGACAGTGCTAATTTTCTTCAAATTTTTCCCAATTGGGTCAGTGACACCTTCTACGTACGGTAAATAGACAGTTCCTTGGTTCTGTTCTTTACTGGACTTGTTCTTATTCTCCCTTGGGAGCATAAAATGAATTATGTATTTTTTGATATATCCGTTTGCTTATAACACTGTTGCCAGATGTTTCATTTCATCGTTGATATGTCTTGGTTCACATATCCATAACGTTCCGTTTACTAAGGTGTTGATAACATTGTGCTTTTGTTTTGGATGATGGTTGGACCCATATTGTAAGTATCGATCAGTGTACGTTTTCTTTCTGTATACTTTGTGACCTAGTTTATTGTCTTCTCAGTTAACACATTTAAGAAAAAAATTTGTCGGTTTTCTTTTTTCCATGGTGAACTGGACCTTAGCATGAAAACTATTTAAATGCTTTAGGAAATTTTGGAGGTCTTTTCTCCCGTAACTCCGGGTTACAAATTTGTTTGTCTACATACCTCAGCCAAAGCTTGTTTTTCAGCAGTACGGATAGCTCTCTTTTCAAAATTTTCCATGTAAATATTGGCCACAACTGGCCTGAGTAGGCTGCCCATGACGACTCCGTCAATTTGTCGATTAAATGTTTGATTCCACTGAAAATATGATGTTGTGAGCACGTGTCGGAAAAGGTTGATGAGTTCTGGAAAAAACTTCCCTATGTAGCTGATTACTTCTTCGAATATAAAATTGTAAATAAAGATGACTAGCCTAATGACATGGCTCTAAGGTGATACCTACTCTTTAAGTGTTCGATGAAGTGCGTAGCTGAAACGATTGGTAGTAATAACCAAGAAATACCACGGTATAACAGCCCGGAAACAAATAATTACATTGACCCCAGCCGTGAAATCCTACATTCTTACGAGAGGTAACAATGCTGGGTGGATGATTTCGAAGTTAATCTTTCTGGCACACCCCACAGCTGGTTTAAGAATCAGTTTATTATGTTATAAATTGATAAATTGACAGATTGGATTGCCTATCAATGAGCCAATACATTTTCCTATATTTGTGCCTTCAAGTGAATTTTTGCTATGAAAGTTAATTTATTTTTTATGTACTTTTCAGATATTTGAAAATCTTAAGAAATCCGCAACAGGCAAAGATTCTTTACAAAAATTAAAATGTATAGATGGGGACATCACAAAGGAACATTGTGGAATCTCAGACGAAAATATAGCTTTCTTACAAAACACGATAACCAGCGTATTCCATATGGCCGCCAACGTTAGATTCGATCAACCAGTAAAAAGTGCGGTACTTTTAAATACAGGAGGAACTTTAAACGTTCTAGAACTGGCGTGTAAATTGGAAAACTTAAAAGTCTTCATGCACGTATCAACCTCTTATTGCCATTGTGATGTTACTGAGCTAGAAGAAAAGATTTATAAAGCACCACAAGATCCTAGGTAAGACACTACCAGAGTATTTTCGTTTGTAATATCGTCAAGTACTGAATTATTGTCGGAAATCTTTCGAGACAAAATCACAAGCACATATACAGGGTGATCCATTAGTGTGAAAAAGTCCAATATCTCCGTTATTATTATAGTCTATTTTTATGTATGAGAGAGTAATAAAACAGCATTTCTAATGCAAAACTTAGTACGTTCATTTTAAATATTTTTACAGAATAATCTAAATATTTCCTAAAATTGTAATAAATGTACCTGAGCTATTACAAGTTTTGGGTCTTTTATTGGTCCTTTATAAACATAAGCTGTACAGCACAATAGAAAAAGGTTTGGAGAGGCCAACAGCCCTGTGTATTAAAGATTACATAGCCGTATCTTAAGATTATTTTCAATAAGTACCTATTTGCCAATTTTGTTTTATTTTAATTCCAAGAATTTCTTACAGTAATCAAATTATAAGTAGATAAATACCTTCCTAACAAATTTCACCGAAAATGCGATTATAGGTTTTCCATTTAGTAAGGAGGTCCAAGTTGTGTATTCTTGACAGTTTACTAAATGTCGTTTAGTTGCAACTTGCAAGGTGCAGTGTGAATTCTAGTGTGATCATGGAAAATTTGGAAGGGCCGCGTAAACGACAAAAAATCGGTCCTTTAACAGTTAATAAAAAAACATTAATATTTAATTGTTTTAAATCATTTACAGACAAAAATTTATGTAAAAGTGTTGATGACACAGTGGAATTAGTTAGTAGTACGCTTGGTGTTGGGAAATCTACGATTTACAGAGTTGTTAAAGAAGAGAAATGTGGCGAGTTTCAAACAGCACGTAAAGCTCCAGGAAAACCAAAATTTTAATTAGAAAATCTTTTGAAAGAAAGACTTCGAAGGAAAGTGCATGCGTTCTTCTTTAGCAAAGAATTTCCGACAGTAGACAAAGTTCTTGCCACGGTTCGACATGATAAGGATTACCCTGAAATGAGGCGAAGCACACTATGGAAACTTTTAAAAGAAATAGGTTTTCTATGGAAAAAGCATTCCAGAAAGTCTATTTTAATAGAAAGAAGCGATATTGTAGTATGGAGAAGAAATTACCTAAGGACTATAAAAGAAATGAGAAACCAAAGAAGAAATATATTTTATTTAGATGAAACATGGATCAACGAGGGACATAAACCAAATAAATTTTAGCAAGATGAAACTGTTACAAGTCGAAGACAGGCTTTTTTAAATAATTTATCTACTGGTTTAAATCTACCATCAGTAAAGGGGCGCAGACTAATAATAGTACACATCGGTAGTTCAAACGGTTTTGTTAAAGGTGGTTTATTGACTTTTGAATCTACTCGTACCGGTGACTACCATGAGGGCATTAATGCTGATGTCTTTAAAGAGTGGTTCGAACAAATTATAGATCTTCTTCCTTAGAACTGTATAATAGTAATGGATAAGGCAAGTTATCACTCGAGACTTATAGGAAAAGTGCCCACAACCAAGTGGTTAAAAAAAGATTTACAGAATTGGCTAAATTCAAAGAATATTAAGTTCCATCCCGGTTCTGTGAGAAAAGAACTGTATCATTTGTGTTCATTTCATAAAGAGAAATTCAAAAAATATGAAATTGATGAAATTGCAAAAAATCGTGGGATGACGGTGGTTAGATCACCACCATATCATTGCGAAGTAAACCTGATTGAACTGATATGGGCACAGATAAAGAGAGAAGTTTCAAGAAAAAATAATTCTTTTAAAATGAGTAATGTTAAACAGTTGTTTTTGGAGGCTGTAAATAATGTGAAGCCTGAAAACTGGGAAAAGGCAGTAAATCATATGAATAAAGAAGAAGAGAAAATGTGGAAGTTGGACAATATTACTGATGAAATGATCGAGCCATTCATTGTAAATATTGGTTGCGACAGTTCATCTTCTGATTTCGATTCTGATTTGGATTTGTAGGTCAGAAGTAGTTTTTATATTAAAATTATTATTTATGAACGTAACGTTGTTTAAAAGTCAAAGTTTAAACCCTTATACCTACTCGTACATAACCCGTTTAACACAATGTTCTTAACATACCTTGTGGAAAAATAAAACATTTTAGAAAAAATTGCACTTTTTTACCTTCAACTGTTTAGAAGTTATAAGCAGGTTAATTAGATGAAAATATAAGTGTATACTCGAGGAATAACTTCAAAAAATATTTTAATTGTCTACTAAAAGAAGTGATACGCCTATGGATTACGAACGCTTTATTATTTTAATACTCTCTCATACATAAAAATAGACTATAGAGATATAATACAAATATTTTCACAGAACGGTAGACAGCGTTAAACTAAATATTTTATAATTATTTTTAAATATACAGGGTGTTTAATAACTTCTCTCAGAAAGTAATTTATGTCCTTTTTAATGGATCACCCTGTAGTTTATTTTATATTTGAATTAGCCTCGCTTTTCCCATTCCAAAAATATAAATATTATTGAATTATAAAGGGTATTTTGCAGGATATAATCAGTTTTGTATGAAAATCGTATTGAATTCAATGACCTATATCATGCAAAAGAAACAATCGACAACCAATTTTTTTTCTACCACAATTATTCGATCATGGTCAAATTTTATCCGGAGACACTACTTTTTTTAATTCGCATCAAATCTGTACAGGGTGAGTCAAAACACAAATACATAATTTTCTCTATTTTTTAAATGGTTCACCCTGTATTTTATCATCGTTCAAAAGTATCCTAATTATACTTTAATATGACTTAAGCATTCTCTATACCAGAAGTTAATAGTTTTTAGAGATTTTTAAATGTTAGTGGTAAAAACGATAATTCAGAAACTAATTGATAGAAAATACATTTTATTTGATAATTAGTAATTATTACAATTTAACCAGCTGTAATTATTTATTATCGACTAAGTAAGTTTTTGACAATATGTAATATCACTTATACATTTATTAGAAAAAGAAATAAACATTTCAACCACAAATGAAACCTACAAAATTTTTTTGTTTATTCATTTTTTTTAAGTTGGCTTTGAAAATCCCCAATACTGACAGTTTGTTATTAATAATGTCATTAGTGTTGCATTATTTGTTTTCTACAAAGTCTCGCCAGTTTTTAATATGAATTATAGTCGTGAAGAATTAGTTTGATATGGTATGGCTTTTGGGAGAATGCAATAAAAACTCTTTGTTAGCAACTAGAGTTTATAAAGAACGATTTTCAGAGCGTAGAATGCCAAATAAAACATCGTTCGAAAAACTGATGGATCGATTTAACTGAACAGGGTCAGTGTCATATGAGAAAATTGATAGAACAAAAACTGTTACTAAAGAGGAAAATGAACTAAATGTTTTGTTAGCAGTTACCGAAAATCCGCATACAAGTATAAGAAATATTTCAAGAGAACAGGAAATAAGTTATACGTCAGTACAAAGAATACTTTCCAAAAATAAAATGCATCCGTATCATATGCAACTACATTAAGAACTCACTATTATGGATTTTGAACACAGGGTAACTTTTTATGAATGGTCACAAAAAAAAAATTACTGAACGAAGAGATTTTTTTGAGTACGTGCTTTTTGGAGATGAGGCAACTTTTCATCGAAATGGCTGTGTCAATAGGTACAACTTTCATTATTATTCCACTTCTAATCCATACCATATAATTACTCACAGTCAGGAAAAGTGGTCTTTAAATGTTTGGGGTGGCATTATCGGTGAGTACGTGATAGGACCTTATTTTTTTAACGAACCTGTAAATGGGGTATTGTACTTAGACTTTCTAGTGAGTTCTTTACCAATATTGCTTGAAGATCTTCTTCTTGAAGTACGTCGAAAAATGTGGTATTTACATGATGGTGCTCCTGCTCACAATAACGCTCTTGTAAATGGCGAACTTGCAGATCAATTTCCAGGAAGACGGATAGGAAGAGGCGGGCCAAACCGTTAGCCAGCCCGGTCACCAGATTTAACTAAAATGGACTTTTTTTTCTGGGGCTACGTTAAGGCTCTAGTGTATAAAATACCTCCAACTACAGTAGATGATATGAAGTAAGAGTAAGAGAGGCACTTTAAAGTGTTACTGTGGAAATGCTTGGAAATGTGAGTCGGAACTTTTAAAACCGTCGTCAGGCCTGCAATAAATATTATGGAAGGCCACTTTGAACAACTGTTCTATTTAAATATAATTTGCAAAAATTACATTTAAATAATAAAGTATGAATTTGTGCTAGCTATTAAATTAAATTAAAGTATAATTAGGATACTTTTGAACTACTATATAAAATACAGGGTGAACCATTTAATAAAAATTGCGAAAATTATGTATTTGTGTTTTGACTCACCCTGTACAGATTTGATGCGAATTGAAAAAAGTAGTGTCTCCGGATAAAATTTGACCATGATTGAAAAATTGTGGTAGAAAAAAAATTGGTTATCAATGGTTTTTTTTTGCATGATATAGGTCATTGAATTCAATACGATTTTCATACAAAACTGATTATATCCTGCAAAATATTCTGTATAAACCAATAATAATTTATATTTTTAGAATGGAAAAAGCGAGGGCAATTCAAATATAAAATAAAATACAGGGTGATCCATTAAAAAGAACATAAGTTGGTCCCAGAGGGAAGCTATTAAACACCCTGTATATTCAAAAATAATTTTAAAATATGTAGTTTAACGCTATCTACCGTTCTATGGAAATATTTTTTTATGTCTCTAATAATGGCGGAGATATTGGAATTTTTCACACTAATGGGTCACCCTGTAGAGATCATTAAGAAAATTTCACGCCAAAAGAAATGTTAGGAATATTATTTATAAATACACTTTTATATGTTACTTTTAATTATCGACTTCTCTCTTTCACAATATAATAAAAATTATATATTGTCAGCTTCCTTTTACAGGACAATATATCTTTCAATATTATCTGTCTTTATCACAGGACAATATATCTTTCAATACGGTCTGTTTTTATTATCACAGGACAATATATCTTTCAATATTGTAGTTCTTTAATATCACAGGACAATATATATTTCAATATTGTCGGTCTTTATTATCACAGGACAATATATGTTTCAACATTGTCGGTCTTTATTGTCACAGGACAAGATACACTTGCGTGCATAGAAATCGGCCCACTGTAAACTTTTGACTTTAACTATATTTTTGTTTTAATTATTCATCAGATCAAAAAAAAATATGCTGTTTGAAACACAATTTAATATGTTTTAATGTTGTTTAATAATTAATTAATAACAGTAACGTTGTTTAATAATTAAAAAAAATATAGTTAAAGTTTACAATGGGCCGATTTCTATGTACGCAAGTATATATTTCAGTATTGTCGGTCTTTATTAATCACAGGACAATAACTTTAACTATTTGATGGCATTGACAGTTTTTTAACTGTTTCACATTCAACTGTAACACATACTTTGAGTGGTCAAAAGGATTTTAACTGCCGCAGACCTAACCCCAACAGCCCAGAATGGCTCCGTCCCGCGTTCATAGATGGAGACACCGATGATCCCTTGCTACATACTCTCATACTCAACGAGTCAGCATGTACTATGAGGCCAGTCTGTTATTTACTATTCAGTATTCATTGTAATTTGTTACTTTTACATGTTGTTAATTTAGAATATTTTATTAATATAGTTTTTACAGAAGACACACGTAGTACATTCCCTTTAAAAGCTCGGCATCATTTTTACAAAAGTCTTATACAAGTCCTTTGATGGGAAGTTAACAATAATATTATGGGAAACTGCTGGCCATGTGCAGGCCTTTCACTACTTATTGCTGGTAAAGTGAAGACGGCCTTTTGCCGCCCGTTGTGATAAAAAGTCGACTTACCAATTGTAGACCTCTACTTGAAGTAACGTACATACGTTTAAACGCGGTTATCTTGCCAATAAAAAATATTTGTTGGATTGTTTGCATGTCTATGACACAAATTGAAATATTGTGCAATTACGCACTAAGGCAGCATTTATAATGCACTTCCAAATAACGTAAAGACCATTTAATAGTTTTTAATTAAAAATGCTCTCTACATTGTAGTTGAATTTTTGAATGCTGTAAAAAAAAAATAAAAAAATTGCTACCCACTGTCTAGAAGAGCTGTATCTTACAATTTATCATTTTATTGTATTTTTGACTTTTGTATAAATTTTTTACATGTGAATAGGAATCAACTTACTTTGCTTAAAAAATATTATCTTTGTTGTTTGATATTTAAACGAAAAATACTAGAAAATTAAAGTGATTATGTCGCCTTTGGTTAGTTCTCAAATTTACCGATATTCTATCAAAATATTTTTATAATTTTGACATATAAACTGACATTTCTTATAATCGCAGCAAGTGTCAAAATTATCTACTTTAACCAGTTACATAAAGCTGAACATTATGTAACTGATCTCGAAGAATGTATTGTCACCAGTTGCAAAGGAAACCAATTAAAAATAAAACTTTTTTTGGTTTTAAAATCAATATATATACATTTCTATTGAAAGCTCATATCAAAGGATGGAAGGTTGGTTATATAAAAATTAATTTTGTTCGTGAACTTACAACCTAGTAATAATTCTGTTCTGGTTCTTATTTTCCATTCTAAATCTGCACAAAATGATTAAAACACAACGACAAAATAACCCCCTTTCTTAAAAACTATATAACTTTAATAGCCCCCGAAAAATGGTACGTCTTGTTTTTACTTGCTATTTATAGTTGGGTACAGGGGAGAGGTGGTGAACAACATGTACTATTTATTAGTGGTGAAAGCTGTTGTTTAACCTATCAAATTAAAAATAAAGTTTCTTATCGATGGATTTTTTCATTTTTTGCTGGCAATGTAATAATTTGTTTCTAGACGTCTATAACAATATAAAAAGCCTATTACAAGGATTTATCGTCCGGTTTTGCTACAGAAAAAGCTTGAGAAGGGTTTTTTTTTTTCGTTATAGACGTCTAGAAGCATATTACATGTTATTCACCCCCTCTCGTATATCCAACTACAAATAGAAAACAAAAAACACGACATGCCACTTTTTGCAGTCATATGAGGAACTATAACAAGAAATCACCCTTCAACAAGTGTTGATAAATTAAATAAATGAAATTATGCAAGTAACAATGCATGAAAGGAATATTGATTGCATAGATGTCAGTAATGTTTTACCAAGCATAATGTTATAAATAAGCTAGAGAAAATTAGAAAAAATATTGTAACACGTTACAAAACGCAGTTTTCTTTAACTTGTTCGTTTTGCGGGACCTCGCTCTGCTTCTCCCGCAAATATTCACTCTTTACATAAAATAGGGGATTTTGTAACTGATTACATAAATAGCTATTCAGGTAGTTTGATTCAAAAAGAATCAACCTCGAAATTCTATAATTTAAGTAAAGTTTTTGTGAAAATTATTGAATATATTAATGTTTTCTTACAAACTTTAAAAACTCTTTACTTAAGGAGGTCCTTTCGCCACCAATGTTAAATAAAAAATATTAGAATATGACTAAAATTAATTTTTTTCTAATAGTAGATGTCCTTATTTATCTAATAGTGAACTTTTAACTATACCTTACCGTGTAAATTTTTGAGAAAATTTTTTTTTAAAAATGTGTGTGTTTGTACAGTGTCTTATGAGAAAGTAAGACTTCAACAACAATTTTCGAATTATAATTAATTTTACTATTATTTATTGATTAGATGGAGTAGAAAAAAACTAAAAATAAGGTTTTTGAAATATTTAGGTTTTGTTTTTTACAATAAATCATATAGGTTACCGTGGAATTTATTGAGAAATTATTATTAAAAAATCCCAAAAAATTATCAACTAGGTTACTTTAAAATTTTTTGTGATTTTTTAATATTAATTTCTCAATAAGTTCCACGGTTTACTATATATATTTTATTGTATAAAACAAAATCTAAATATTTCAAAAACCTTATTTTTAGTTTTTTTCCACTCCATCTAATCAATAAATAATAGTATGATTCGAGACTTACTTTCTCGTGAGGCACTGAACAAATACATTTAAAAAAAAATTCTCAAAAATTTGCAAGGTAAGGTATAGTTAAAAGTTCAGTATTAGATAAATAAGGACTTCAACTATTAGAAAAAAATTAATTTTAGTCTTAATCTAATATGTTTTAACATTTGAGGCGAGAGGTGTGGCGAAAGGACCTCCTTAAATTATATAATTCTGATATTGGCCCTTTTAGAACCAAGTCGTAGATTTGAATCAACAATATGTTTACTTATTGATTAAATCAATATGCCATAATTATTGTTTTCCTTAATCTCAATGATGTTTTAGGAAAATTTTAGACCTCGTAAGATGGATGGATGATGACCTTCTGGAAACATTAACACCTACATTATTGAAAGATTCTCCAAATAGTTATGCATATACAAAGTGCTTGACAGAACAATTAGTCTCAGAATATAGCGATAAATTACCAATAGCTATTACTCGACCGTCTATAGGTAAGTAAAATTAGTATACTATGTGATACCTCTTAATTCTCTGACCATTCGTGTCTCTAATCAGTCTTGTTCTATAACATTATCTAGGTAAAAATGACAAAACCGTCTGCCAACCACAGGATCTTTAATTCGATTCTTTCAAAACATGATAAGGCTTGCAATATTAGTAGTACAGTTTGCAATAACTTGAAGATAGATACCTAATTTTTTTATATTTATTGACCTCTGACAACAAAATAATACAAATTCTATATTACATACATATCCTCATACTTTTTGGACCTGACCCTTCTATAGGCCTGACAAAATCGGTAGTGACAGACCTAATCAAAGAACATTCCCTTGTGAAATTCAAGGAAAGATGGGATGAAACAAGAAACTGCAGAGTTGACAGGGAGCTCTTAAGTTATCCTGATAACACTGCAGCAAACAAATACTTGACTATGACTAGACAGAATCTGTGCCTAGTCACAGGCATTCTGAATGGTCATTGCCAAGTACGAAAGCATCTCCATATCATGGGGCTGTTAGAATCCGCACTCTGCAGAGGGTGCGAACAAGAAGATGAGACCATTGAGCATATCCTTTACGATTGCTCGACGCTCTCATTTATTAGAAGATTTGTGTTTGGCGTGTATCGGCTAACACCGGCCGATATAAGAGAAGCACCTCTTGGCGACGTTGTCAACTACATTAAATCTATAGGCTGGCTCACGAGCTAGGAGGTGCCTATCTTCTTAGGAGGATGCCCAATGAGCCTAATGAGGCCTAAGTACCGTGGGGGTAACCGGCCCTCCACATATTACAGATACATATCCTCATAAATTCAGACATCTTTAAAAGAAAGAAGAACAATTGTCCCTTTGACCAGCCTAAACTGTTCTTCCTCAAAGGCCCGTGTATCGGAAAAAAATAAAATACAATTAATTTGCCTACTTAAGAGCGTAAATACCTAGGAACGTAGATAACAAAGCTAATGTTTTAAATATTTTGCAGTTATTCAAATAAAGGTTTTAGCTTTGTTTTCTAAATTTGTTTATGCATTTAAAATTGTGCGGACATTAAAATTTTTTGATTCAACAAATTAATAATTTCCCATATTTTAAAATTTCTAAATTCCTAAATTCCTAAATTCCTAAATTCCTAAATTCCTAAATTCCTAAATTCCTAAATTCCTAAATTCCTAAATTCCTAAATTCCTAAATTCCTAAATTCCTAAATTCCTAAATTCCTAAATTCCTAAATTCCTAAATTCCTAAATTCCTAAATTCCTAAATTCCTAAATTCCTAAATTCCTAAATTCCTAAATTCCTAAATTCCTAAATTCCTAAATTCCTAAATTCCTAAATTCCTAAATTCCTAAATTCCTAAATTCCTAAATTCCTAAATTCCTAAATTCCTAAATTCCTAAATTCCTAAATTCCTAAATTCCTAAATTCCTAAATTCCTAAATTCCTAAATTCCTAAATTCCTAAATTCCTAAATTCCTAAATTCCTAAATTCCTAAATTCCTAAATTCCTAAATTCCTAAATTCCTAAATTCCTAAATTCCTAAATTCCTAAATTCCTAAATTCCTAAATTCCTAAATTCCTAAATTCCTAAATTCCTAAATTCCTAAATTCCTAAATTCCTAAATTCCTAAATTCCTAAATTCCTAAATTCCTAAATTCCTAAATTCCTAAATTCCTAAATTCCTAAATTCCTAAATTCCTAAATTCCTAAATTCCTAAATTCCTAAATTCCTAAATTCCTAAATTCCTAAATTCCTAAATTCCTAAATTCCTAAATTCCTAAATTCCTAAATTCCTAAATTCCTAAATTCCTAAATACCTAAATTCCTAAATTCCTAAATTCCTAAATTCCTAAATTCCTAAATTCCTAAATTCCTAAATTCCTAAATTCCTAAATTCCTAAATTCCTAAATTCCTAAATTCCTAAATTCCTAAATTCCTAAATTCCTAAATTCCTAAATTCCTAAATTCCTAAATTCCTAAATTCCTAAATTCCTAAATTCCTAAATTCCTAAATTCCTAAATTCCTAAATTCCTAAATTCCTAAATTCCTAAATTCCTAAATTCCTAAATTCCTAAATTCCTAAATTCCTAAATTCCTAAATTCCTAAATTCCTAAATTCCTAAATTCCTAAATTCCTAAATTCCTGTATAATAGAAAAAAATGGTCAAGACTTTGTTTTTCTTTTTATTTACATCTTTAGAAGTTAAAATAATAAATTGTATATATGTAATTTATTTGGCGGCATATCATTTTTATAATTAATTTTAGAGAAAAAGTTAGTCTTCATAAAAGTTGTGCATGGTCTAATACCTAAAATGCAGCCAGCTGATATAAAATTTTATCAGTCGTATACGAGGTTTGTCAAAAATTAAGGTACCTTACTCTTAAGTAAAATCATATTTTTTGACAAACTTCGTATAGATTGATAAAATTTTTATGAAGCATAATGTCGCGTAAAGCCCTATCCTGGGCTTTGTTTACTCCTTGCCCGCGGTATGAAGTCTAGTGCGCTGGCAATATAAAGACAAACGTACCGCTTCGAGAAACTACCAGAACAAGCGGTATGTGCCGTTGAGTCATAGAGATAGAATTCTCGGATATTCCACATCGTCTAGAAACTTCTCGTACAAAGTAGGGCTTGGTATAAATAACGCGAGTTATCGACGGACGGGAGATTCGAATAAAGTGTTGGATAGAAAAGATAAATTGTAAGAAATAAATTAGAATTATGAGTTATAATAGTGTTTATGTATTATATAAATAAATTATTGTAAATAGTGTTTTAAATAAATAGACTATAAATAAATTAAAATAACGTCACAATAACTTTTTTCCAAATATTAATAATAAAAAAAGTTTTTCATATGCAGCCAACTTTCGTAGACACACTGTATTATTCAAAGACTAACAATATTTTATCATTCTAATAAATGTATTTATTATATAAAATTTAATTTATATTATGTGTACATTTAAATAGTTAACAGTCTATTACAGCAGTTAGATTATTGATAGTCATAGTATTGCTACCTTGCGGCATCTGATTTAATCTCTTTGAACACTCACTTTAATCCTAATTGCAATCAATTCTTATTATTAACCTTGTATATCGGCAGGATTCTAAATTACTTTGCGATTCCATACTGCATTTTGTTCTAAATAGTATGTGCAATGTAAGATTTTATAAATTATTTGGAAGATAGTTTTGAAGAAATTTTTGATAGTCCTAGAGCCAACGTGTAGATTTGTGATTTATTCTCTTATGGCTATTAAATGGTTATTAAATTTTACTGATAACGAAAGCGCAAGGTTCAGATCGGGGCACTTAGTAGTTATAGGCATTACAAGTGGTACGTTTGACATATTTTCTTAAAATTTTCGTTATACTTATTCGACGATAAGTGGCCATAGAAATAGTACAGAAAGCCGATTCCATTTATTAAAAATTAAACCATAAGAAGAAAATAGTGTATCGGAGCTCATGCGTATAACGGTGCTGGCTCGAACAGGACCGGTGCAAGTTTTTTATTGATCGAAAAAATAGTTCACACAATGTTTCATTCATACATTTTTAGAGATAAGATAAATATGTTTCTGGAAGTCCTTATGCATTAGTTAATTTTCGGTAATCATTAATGCTGCAGTCACGAAATTTTGCTTGTGATTTGACATCTTATTTGATTTAGTATCATTTGCTACAAGTAAATTTAATTAAATAGGAGGCAGTTGCGTTTCGCCCAGAAATATTATGTTCGATATTTTTTTACATTTTGTCAGCCAAGACTATGAGTCGTTACTTACAATTAGACAGAGAACCTTTCATGTTACCATTTTCAATATAAATTATCCAAAGATGTCTCAAGATTCAAAATTTAAAAATACTACTACATTTACTTGGTACTTGGTACATATTTTATTTTAATTTTGAACCCTTTTAAAAGGGTCTTTCGGTTCCATAATAAAAGTTAGTCGCTGCTTATTAGAAACATTCTATATAGTCTAAACCAATTTATGGATTGTTTTCGATCAATTTAATACAAAGATTTAAAGTTTTTAGTCGATGATAACATTCCACATTGCAAACCTATTTTATAGATAATAAGAATAAACTTGTAAATCATTAATTTGGTAGTTATCTCACTCATAATGATTTTTTTGTTAATATGACTCTTTTGATTTCTAAATATATTTTGGCCTTACAATACGAAGCGTTTTGTATCTAACACTTTTTTATTGAATGATGAATGTTGACAGGCGTGTATCTTTTTCGGAACAAGAGGCGCTTTAACGGCGGAAATGATTTTCGAACTATCCATTTAGTTTTCGGAAAAGTAGAAAATGTTTGAAGAAAGTCGTCAATAACATTAGCATGTCGTTCATTTGTTTCATTTTGATCAGCTTTCATTCTAAATTACATAGAATACTCTTCTTCCGATTCAAAATCGAGATTCTCGATATTTTCACAGTTTATTTATAATACTTTCTAAACTGACTTTACCTATATCATTTATATTCTTTATAATATATGTTATCACTCTACTTTGCACTTTATTAACAATTTTTTTAACATACTTCAAAATAGGAGGATATTCTCAATTCGTTGAAATATTTTTTTATGTATGTTGAGCGATAATTCTTTACCACGTTGCCCGATTTCTATGATTCTCTTTTTGTTAGAAAATGAATAGTTCTATATACATTTAGTCAAGATCTGAAGATGCGATCTATGAGTAAATCAATAACATCTTCATTTTTAAAGTAGGTTTTTTAAAATTTCTTTAAACCGTACTGATTCGCACGCTGTAAGGAATGAAGAAATGTAAATAATTTTTTGTGTCGGCCAAAAAGCGAAGAGGAAATAACGATTAAAATATCGAGTGAGATAAGTTTCTAAGTTCGTTGAGATCGGGTTTATATTTTAAAATGCCTTGAAACCCGCATTTAAAAGTATACAATTTATTAAGGTTAATTTTCAGTTTCTACATTTGAAAATATACCCGATGCCAACTTGGCCAGTGATGCCATAAATGTTAGGTACAGGTACAATTTAATACGGTTTATTTTAAAATTATATATTTTAAGTTATACCCGACTAAAACACTGTCTCTGACGTCATGAGCGTTGTGTAAAGATGGTGATCAGACAGAACAGAACTTGACAAAACAGAACAGGACAAAACAGAACATGACAAAACAGAACTTGACAAAATAGAACACAGACAAAACAGAACACGGACAAAACAGAACACAGACAAAACAGAACAAGGACAAAACAGAACACAGACATAACAGAACACAGACATAACAGAACACAGACAAAACAGAACATAGTATATAATAACTAGGTAAGTATTTCTCGAAATTCTCTAACAAAAAGTTTCGCCTCCTATCAGTATACATATATTTAAATGCGTTAATGGGTTAATTCTTAGTACTTAGTACTGTTACTTTTAGTTCATTGTTTATAATCTCTGTCATTATGGAATAAAACCCATTAAAATTAGAGGAATGTAAACATAATATCGACGGTCAGATTTTAAAATCATTTAAGTCTACCTATAGTTACTTTACTCTGATATTGTTGTTAATGATTGATACTATTTCCTGATTAAATATATTGTAACATTACCTTAAATCAATTGTATGATAAATATTTAACAGTGTTAGATTATTTTTTGTACAAACTTCATTGATTTACTTTTGAATAAGACTTACTTGTTTTAAAAATCTACAAATAAAGTTTGAATTTCTTACGTGATTTTAACTTCTCTCAGTAGACCGCCGATATGTTTTGTTTTGTCTGTGTTCTGTTATGTCTGTGTCCTGTTATGTCTGTGTTCTGTTTTGTCTGTGTTCTGTTTTGTCTGTGTTCTGTTTTATCCTGTTCTGTTTTGTCAAGTTCTGTTTTGTCATGGCACCGTAAAAATATATATTCCAAATAAGCAACATTTTATGTTCTATCGCTATCAGGAATAATAGAAGTGGCATCTTATATAAAAAGGAAATAACAGATCTGTCAAAATATTTTAGATAGCCTGTTTACCATTTTTAACAATTTTTAACAAAAAATCATTCATTGTTTTGTCAGATACCGATAATATCTCCCCGTCGCTGGGCAGCCTGTATATAAATATATAGCTCTCTATTTAACATAATTATAATTCTTAGGTAGGTTTAGATTCCAGACATAAATTTTGTAATAAATATAACAGCTGCTAAATACATTGATTACATTTTCATTAGCCAATGTAAAAACGTCTTTTATTGTACCTAGGATTTAACTTAACATTACACGAAAGTAAAAATAAAATGTCGTGTAATTAAATAATAAAATACAAATTCAAGCCTAAATATCACAAACGGTCCTGTAAGGGCAGCGTCATATAGCCCGAGATTCTCGGATATAGCCTTGAACAACCGGATTTAAGTGGTGTTGCCAGGTCAATATTGAATTTGTAGGTGAATCGCTTGTTGTACATTAATACCGTATTTGTATATATTTTTGGGAACACATAAATATTATTAGTTGATTATTTAAATGTTTATAATATATTTTGTGGCGATATTTCGTATATATAAACTGTTTAAATCATATAATTTAAAAATAAATTAATTTGAAATTCTTTTGTGTTAGGTATGTTTAATATACTTGGCAACACTACAGGGACAAGTCATGCATACTGCGCAAGCTTCTAGACACACTATTTTGCGATGTCAGGCGCAGAGACGCGTTTTTATGCACAGTAGGTTTCAATTTCTGCTTGAATGTTATATTTATATTGGTCTTCTATATTATTTCTATGTAAGTGGCCCACCTACAAGAAATATTAAACCCTCCACCAATTTCGCTGGGCCATTTTTTTTTCTCCAACGTTTAAAAATAGTACGTGAGAAGGCATGCTAGTGGCTTATTTTCTTATGGCTGGTATTTTAAATATTGTGTTACATTCTAAATCGAATAGTAGTGTAGCATTTGAATATACATTATAGGATTTGCTGAGGATTTCCAAATCCTTTTACGATGGCTTAAAGAAACATATGTTTAATTAATATTAATTATATGTCATGTTGTTAAATACTGATCTATTTTTCAAGGAATAACTCAAAGAACAGTGTCAAAAATAAAAACAAAATAATTAAATTAGATAAAAGTAAAGTGCTAATTTTTAAATTCATGTTACTTTCTAGAATCCATATATAAAACTGAATCAATATAATTCTGTTTTTAGTAACTGCTGTGGCGAAAGACCCCATTCCCGGCTGGGTAGACAACTTGAACGGCGCCACGGGAATAATTATAGCAGCAGGAAAAGGAATTTTAAGGTCCATGCATTGTGATATATCACTATGTGCCGATTATGTACCAGTTGATATGGCTATTAACAGTATTTTGACTGTCGCTTGGAAAGTTGGAAGTGAAGTGAAGAAAAGCGAACCTGAAGTTTATCATCTCACTGCTAATAGGGTAAGTAGGTTTAAATGAAGTGTCATATATTACAATATATAATAGTTTCTAAGTCCTCTAGAGGGCGTTAAAATCAAAGCTCAATTAGCTCAATTCTGCATAAAATTTTCAATAATGGCAAGTGGAAGAGGAAGAGAAGGTTGACATATGGAAAACGTCTTTATTGGCCTTTGGATTAATAATCGAGGTGTTTCAGAATTTTTTTAAATCTATAATAATTCTTGACAAATATATCTTTTGATTGTCAAAAGAACCTCGTTCTACGTAAGGTTCCAGATCAAAGTGCGTATTAATCAAGCAAATGTATCTGTACAATTTTACCATTGTTCAGGGGACATCTTAATCTAAACTTAATAAGCAAAATGTATTTTCCTATTACTGGGCGGAAAACCAGTTTGGAAAAGGTTCCAATGAAGTTTCTTCCGCTGTATTTGATAGGCTCAATAAAATTGATTTTGGTCCTGCTGTAACTATCGTGAAGTTGATGACAGATGGTTGCAGTGGGCAAAACAAGAACACCACACTCATTGGAATGTACTGCAAATGGCTTTCTGAAAAGGCACCGGGATATGTCCAGAATGTCGAAGTGATTTTCCAGTAAAAATTACAAAATTTTGTCCAATTTGAGCAAAAACGTAACATAATACCAAAGAGTATAGTTAACACAAGAGATCGCACTTAAATGTCAATCGATCTGAAAATTTGTGACCTTGAAAATTAAAAATATTTTACGCGGGTAAAATGTATCTAATTTAATATAACCTAGCTTTCCAATAATTTCTCTTTTTGGTTTGAACATTCATTTGTAATCGAATTTTGTTATAAATCTGTATTTTTTATTACAAATTACATCGTAAAGGTCTGTGCAGTAAAAACCTGCAAAAATACTAATCAATTTTCTAGATGTCATTTTTCTTATGTGACAGCAACCAATGTTCTGATTGGTGACACCAGACATGTCAAAAATACTTCAGACCAATAGGGAGGAGGCATCGAGGTCAACATTATTTTAAAAACCAAAAAAACATAAATTTTGTAATAATGACACTAATTTTGTCTGCAAGTGGCTTAAAAGCTGAATATTTTTTACTTTTAGATGTAATTTTTCTCATGTGTCAGCAACTAACGTGCTGATTGGTGACCCCAGACTTGTCAAAAATACCCCAGACCAATAGGGAAGAAGTACCGAGGTCATTGAGAATTGAGCCAGAATTTAACTTGGGAAGTATAGGGAGTGATAAGCCTGTGATAATACTAAGCATTTTATTTATTATAATTAGATTAACAGTTGTAAGGAATTCGTCAAAGTTAGAGAAACCTTTGGTACATGGTACAACTGTCAACTGAGTTTTAAAAATGACTTATAGAAGTTACTTTGTTACTAGTAACAATATGAATATGTTCTATAAACATGATATTGTTCTATACAGGCTGTTTAATAGCATAATTCGAATATTTTGTTTCATTTGAAAGATAATAGTAGTAGAAGACGAAGTTTGAGCACGATGCCGCGCGCCGTAGGCGGAATGCTTAATCGTCTGTGTGCGATACGGCCAGGGATGATTTGATACCACTATCTTTTGATTGTCAAAAGATTCTCAATCTAAACTTAATAAGCAAAATGTATTTTTTCTATTACTGGACGGAAAACATGTTTGGAAAAGGTTCCAATGAAGTTTTTTCCGCTATATTTGATAGGCTCAATAAAATTAATTTTGATCCTGCTGTGACTATTGACTATCGTGAGGTTGATGACAGATGGTTTCAGATGGTTTTTTAACCCACAGGAACATGGCATTTTTCTTTCAAGAATACAAAAAGGTTTTTGCTAAAGAAATGTAAAACTGGAAATGTTTACATTAGAGATGAATTACATTAACAAGTTAATGTGCTTTAACTTAATGATGTTGATAAGCTTCTTACAAAACACTTTGGCACCGCTTAGAGATCACTGGAAGAACTTAAATTTTATACAGGTATTCTATCTAATGCACTGCCTGAGTCAGAGCATCTAGGTCAAAAAGAAAGTGAAAATGGGTTGCCAGGAGATGAAGAAACCGAAGAAGTAACTTGCGAATTTATTAAAGTTCTTTCTATACTTGTATAATATTATGACCAGTAATAAGTTTTTGATTATAATATTTTGACTTTAATATTATATTATTTTGTCTTTATAACCTATTCAAAATATTAGGCATTAATTTCATTGAATTTTTGCTCTATGATTACTGGTATCAAAACTGGAAATATCTAACTGTCAGTATCAAACACGGCATTCTCTCTAACTTTTTTTTAATTTTTATTTAAACCATTAAGAATTTAGGTAGAGTTACTTTACAATTTGCCGTACTTTACCATCTTCTTTAGTTAAAAAGTATGTTTGTATCGATATTAGTCATAATAAGAACGTAGCATCGTTTTCTTTACTAAAAAGTGATATCCATGTGGGTGTAGAAAATTGTGTTTTCTTGCCAGTGTTGAATCGCGTTCAGACGCTTTTCCACGAGAGCACACAATTTATGGATTAATGCCCATATGCACCGTTTTAAAATTTAATCCAGATTTGCAAATCTCGTTTAAATGACTAGTGATAATTTTCTATGCACCGGCTACGGATTAGATAATATAGTTTAGTAATCTGACAACACTGGATTTTTATAAATTTCACAAAAAACGGAAGAAGACAACTTCAGATTTAAATAGGAGAAATGTATGTCAAAGGATAAGAGGCCGTTGAAAATAGAAGCCCTATTTTTTTAATGTAACAAAATCGTAAACACACCGTAAAAGGCATACAAGTGTTCTGTGACGCATACAGAATTTTACGCAAAAAAATAATTCTATAGTTGGATGGCAAAACCTTTATGTTTATTTTTGGTAATTTTAACATAATATATACATACAAACTGCTGTATTTCAAGCTTTTCTATGCAAAACGATATACCTATATGAATACTTTCTCTTCACTGTGCATGTTCAAAACTATATGGATGTGATATATTTTCAGTATTTAAAAGTGGACAAAATCACATAAATGTAATAGGTATTGCTTACTTATTTTTACCATTTTCAACACGTCTGGATTTGCCATCTAACTACAGAATTAAGCTGTAACGTTAGAATATAAAACATCTCTTAAAAATGACAAAGTTGTCCATCCTACAAAAATATTCACTTTTCTGGTAATTTTGTCTAGAATCTTTGTCATCTTCCAAAAAAAGCTCGTATTCCATTTCCGTTTTTTAATAAAATTCAAATAAAATACATAAAAAAACACAAATGGAAAGTTCCAAATATACTGACAAAACTTTGACATATTTACGCCCGTATGCACCGTACACGTTTAATCCAGATCAAGGGTTTAATCACGTTTAGTACCATTTTTAGCTATGGTACTAAACGAGATTAAACCCTTGATCTGGATTAAACGTGTACGGTGCATGCGGGCGTTATGACGTTACAAAAACTCGATTAACGCCCATATGCACCGTTTTAAAATTTAATCCAGATTTGCAAATCTCGTTTAAATGACTAGTGGTTATTTTTTATGCACCGGCTAAGGATTAGATAATCGAGTTTAGTAATCTGAAAACACTGGATTTTTATAAATTTCACAAAAAAAGAGAAGAAGAAAACTTCAGATTGAGTAGGAGAAATGTATGTCTAAAGATAAGAGGCCATTTGAAGATAGAAGCCCTATTTTTTTAAATGTACCAAAACCGTAAACACACTGCATATCTAATTTTACGCAGGATAAAAGAGAATGTCAAATGAATTTAAAAAATAATTCTATGGTTAGATGGCAGAACCAATAATATTTTTGGCAATTAACATAATACATACAAACTGCTGTACCTATTTCAGGGCGATATACCTGTGAATACTGTCCCTATACTGTGCATGTTCAAAACTAGATCACATATTTTCAGTATTTAAAATTGAACAATATTACATTAATAATATACAGTGAGCACCATAAGTCTTACCCCCCATATCTAACTCGTTACTGGAGTCTTGTTGGGAAAATCGCCGAGACACGTCGATTTTTGGTTTCTACAATGTACATTTTCGTATGAATAGTTTACCCTTAATTTTATCCCTTACTGGAGGGGAGCAACCCTTTCGAAAAATTTAAAAGGCATGGGGTGGCGAGTGATAGCTCATTTATAAGAGGGTTTTATTCTCTATTCAACCGTATAAAAAAAGTTGAAATTTGCTTCATTAATTCTCGACTAATTGTTGTTTCAGAATAACGGAAATTAACGTAGCGCACTCATCCTTAGAATTAAAATTTGCCCCTGCATGATTTCGGTTTTGGTTCAGACGTGAAGTAAGACTTTTTGCCATTAGAAAGTCACTGTTAGTCTAGTTGCTTTCCTATTTTGTGAGGTTTTGTTATTTTTAAACATTATTAAATCAACACGTAATGAAGCAAATTTAAAAATTTTTTGCACGGTTGAATAGAGAATAAAACCCCCTTTCAAATAAGCTATCACTCACCACCCCCCCAAAGGACTTTCTATTGTCAAATTATGACAGTTCGTGGAAAACGTTAACTTTCTAGTTAGATTTGAATGTGTAAAAGTCTACTTTGGATAGTGATCGTAAAAAAATAGCTATTTATCTTCGAAGAGTAAGCTTAAGTCAAATAAACTATAACGAAAGTAGGTAACTCATTTCTTATTAATTTTTTTTTATTTTGGTATGATCGTAGAAAAAATCTTGTATGTTATTCGAGCAGAAAGTCCTTTGGTAGTTTCGACATTCTGTCTCATCTACAAAAGTGCTATTTTCTGTTCTTATTACAGAAATAGCTATTTTGATCCACGAGAGGCAGCACATGACCTTTATTTTTCATCTTATATATGATTTCTTAAATCCCATTATCGTCCTTAATCGCATTTGATTCACTTCAGCAAATTATTTATTGTTTGCATATAAAGTTTTTATTTATGGAGTTTTGCTAATTCGTATTTACATTTCGCAATTTCTGTCTCTATAATGATATACGCAAAATAAAACAATACGAGTATTAATCGTATAGAATAACATAAATCTATTTAATATAATGTGATTGAGTAATTTATTGCTTCATTACATAAGTTTAATTATTAATGTCTGATATCGAGGATCGACCGTGAATCTTAGATAAATCATTGAAAGACATTTTAATTAATTTTAAATTTAAAACTAGACGTTATAATGTAGGTTATTTTTATAAAATGTTCATAGAAACTTTCTAGAACGGATATGAAATCCGCTAATCACAGGGCATGTTTAGTACTCGGCGGCTCTCCTTTTTAAAATTTTAAATTAGTGATAAATCTGTAAACCTAATTATTAGAATATTTTTAATTATTAAGGTAAAAATTCACAGATTTCGAAACTTTTGCTACCATCGAGGACATAAAATGGAAATATCTTCTTCTTATATTTTTGTAATCCTTCAAGTTGGCTAAATTTGGTTATAGTCGAAGCATTAAAGCACAAAAGTTTGGAATTTTTAAGACTAAGACGGATCGGAATGCGGTTTTTTGCATTCGCTTCCAAAAATATTTTGAAAAAAATGCCTCTACTTTTTATCTTATACAAACCGGAAATTGCATTGCTACAGCCAAAAATGTATTTTTAAGACGGCTTTTTGGAAGATTAAATAACTTTGTAAATAGAATTAGAACTGGCCCAAAATCGGGTCTCCGGGGATTTCCAAGGTCGCTGATCACGATTATTATGTTCAAATTGACCCAGAGTCGACCTGGAGCTTAGGAATGTCGATGAACATCATCTTCGTGGAACTCTCCCGAAATTCAAGCGGGAGGGAGAGAAACTCAGAGCCCGGGGGATTTTTAGGTCGCTGGATTCAAATGTGGCATCGGCGAACTCCCTCTGGACACCTGGTGAGCCGGAACCTGGACGTGGACGTCATCACCGAGAATTTTCCTGACAATATCGCCAAAAACAAACCGAAAATCATTGTAGGAGCGTTTTTTGGGAGCGTTGAATCCAAATTTCACGTCGAAAATGACCCCCTAAACACCTGGTGCACCGGAACCTGGACGCGAACCTCATCTCCGTGAGTTTTCCTCGCACAATCGAAAAAGACGAACTGAAAATCGTTATGGGAGATTTTTTGGGGCGCTGAATTCAAATGTGGCATAGGCGAGAACCCTTTGGACACCTGGTGCGCCCAAACCTGGACGTGGACGTCATCCCCGAGAATATTCCTGACAAGATCGCCAAAAACAACCCAAAAATCATTGTACGGGCATTTTTTGGGCGCTAATCCAAATTTTACGTCGAAAACGACCCTCGAACACCTAGAGCACCAGAATCTGACCCTTAACGTCGTCTTCGAGGGTTTCCTCACACAATCGAAGAAAACGACCCCAAAATCGTGCACCTGGTGCACCGAAACCTCGGGCTGGACATCGTCTCCGAGGGTTTTTCAAACACGATCGTAAAAGACTAACCGAAAATCGTCTCATAATTTCACACATTCATTGATGTATAACTCTCGCCTTTAACTGAATATGTAGCACTCCAGAATTCAAGGGCACTGTATCTAGGAGGATATCAAATAAAAGAGGGAGATTTACCTAACTTGAAGCCACTTCAAATCCTACACTTCCTTGAGGAAATTGGATTGGAAGGATCGTTATAAGCATTGAGATATTTCCTTGGTGCATTAGCGACAGAAGGGGGCACAATAGATCTTTTAGGTCACAGTGTATTAACACCCCATTCCCAACATAACATAACAAAACTCCCTGGGGCCCTCGAAAAAGTTGATCCAGTCCTGTAAAATTCTAAATGCCGAGTTTAAATAAAGCAAGGAGAATTACGAGAATAATCTACTGCCTTTCACTTTTCTCCCAACGCTCGAAACGCTTTTGTGTAAGTATACACAAAAACTTTTTTCTAAGCTTCATCAAGGCCTCGCCCACCAACGCGTAGAATGAGCAGGTGGCGGCAGTAAAAAATCATTATCGAAATACATTAACAGAGTAGGGTGCTAAATTGGGTGAGTTCCTCATAGGTTGAATAATTAGCTCTAAATTTATAACTTCTGGTGGTTCCAGAATAAATACCTAAAACATCAGGTTTGGTTGACATTTATGGGAATGACATCGATGTCAAGATAAAGGTTCTGGTGCACCAGGTGTTAGGAGGGTGGTTTTCGACGTGAATTTCGGATTCAGCACCCCAAAAAACCCCCATAACTATTTTCGGTTCATTTTTTTCGATTGTGTGAAAAAAACTCAAGGAGATCAGGTCCGCGTCCAGGTTCCAGTACACCAGGTGTTTAAGGGATCGTTTTTGACGTGAAATTTGGATTCAGCGCCCCAAAAAACGCCCCTACAATGATTTTCGGGTTGTTTTTGGCGATCTTGTCAGGAAATTTATTGGGGATGATGTCCATATCCAGGTTCCGACATACCAGGTATGCGCCGATGCCATATTTGAATTCAGCGACCCAAAAAACCCCCGAGCGCATAGTATCTCTCCTTCCCCTCATGAATTTCGGGAAAGTCCACGGAGATGACGTTCATCGGTGTTCCTGAGCTCCAGGTTGGCTGGTGGTCAATTTGAACATCATAATCGTGATCAACGACCCCGGAAACCCCCGAGAATCCGATTTGGGCCAGTTCTGATTCTTATTTACAAAGTTCTTTAATCTTCCAAAAGCCGTCTCAAAAAATGCATTTTTTGAATGCATTTTTGGCTACAGCAATGCAATTTCCGGTTTGTATAAGATAAAAAGTAGGGGCATTTTTTCCAAAATATATTTGGAAGCGTCTTAGTCTTAAAAATTACGAACTTTTGGCGTTTTTACTGCTTTACTGCCTCGACTATTACTATCAAGTGACAAAACCATAGTGTTGTGTTCTCACTGTGTTACAAGGAGTACCATGATTGCAAATACAAACTTTTTGTAATGCAAACCATTATCTGTCAGTTATAATTGTTATCAATATACTTTCTTTCTAAATATAATTTAGTGGTAAGCTTGAATATCGATAATTTTTTGAAATCCCAACTCACGACAATCCCAATTCAAATTAATCTATAATTTTATGTGACATCACAATATCTCTCAAACTCTTGATATTTTTATATGGATTTTAATGTCTATTTTTTTTTAAATGGTATAAATGTTGTTTTCTTTTTAGGATAACGCCGTAAGTTGGGGAGAAGCTCTGGAAATATCTAAAAAGCACGTGTTTGATTATCCCTTCAGTGTATGTCTTTGGTACCCAGGAGGTAGTCCAAAATCAACTTACCTAATGCATGCAATTGCCGCTTTTTTCTTCCATGTAATTCCAGCTTATGTGGTTGACTTTTTGTTACAATTAACTGGAAACAAAACATTGTAAGTATTAAAGAAAGGGCCATATTTAAATCTACTTGCTTTTATATTTATCTTCTAATTAATGTTCTGAAACTATAAACATAATTATCAACTCTACACATTTTATTGACTAATTCTATCACAAAAATGTTTCATTTAATGAAATATATATTACGTTTTTATTTTTGATTATGTGAAATAAATAATAATAATAATTTGGTTTTAATATTTCACACCTACTCGTAGATATATAAGAAAGTAATCTTTGTTTCTTATACAATCTGTTTTCTCCTTAAACATAAATTTCATTTGTATTGTAGGGCTGATGATGGCCTGATGGCCAAAACTAGTCGCTTCACAACTTAATAATCAAATAATATATGTGGTACATATTTTGTGTTTTTGTTATTATTCTTGAAGGAAAAATCAGTTCATTATGACTATCCATTAGTTATCAAATTTAGCATGTAATGAAATAACCCAAGATTATGTTATTAAAAGAATAAATAACACAGAATAAAACTTTCTTTGGATAATGTATATAGTCTGTAATACCTACGTTTGTAGGTACTTTCATTATATAATGACCCAATAAATCTATTAAAATGATATTTATCTAAAAATACTCATTCTAAACGTTATCTGATATTGATACTACAATTAAATCTAGTAAAAGTTGTATATACAGGGTGTCATTGGTAAATGGACATTGTCCAGCGATGCACGAGGATAAGATGAATAATTTCCGGCCTGACCGATAGTGGATTTATTCACTTTAATGGAATTATGGGACCTCAGAACCACTTTCAACAATTCTAACGTCCTCGATTTAACGGCATCAAAGAATGTTATATAATATATGTGTTTTTCATCGCTATTTACTCTACAACTTGCGTGAATTGTGCAGGATTTTTCTTTATGGCCAAGACTTCTCATATGCGCCGGCAATTGATTGGCAGGGTTGTCTATATTACATGATTCACATCTCCCAATACGTGCTTGCGGTGCTATTGCTCGAGGTGTATTCACCGCATGTACACGGGCTTTCTTTACTGCTGGAACATCGGTTCTAGCCGTGGCGGTTCTTTTCGTGCCTCCGGATGATACACCATTGCGATTTGAAATCAGCTTGCAACTTTTGTTTTGATGGCGACGTAAATTGTCTGCACTGCTAAATATTATACCGCAATTACACTTATACATTTTCACCATTTTTATTATTTATTTGATAGTAGATAATGAAACCTTACACTGTGGAAACCGATGTTTAAACTTTTTGGATACGTACGCTACTATATATCCTCTCAAAAATCCCCCACCTCTTCTAAGCTCCTCCTTCGATATTCACGCTTTGTACGCTAAAATAGTTATACCCGAGAGGTACTTAGATTAAACTCATTACACTTCATGATATATATAGTAAATACTATACATATGGTACTTACACTCATACCACTTCATTGTGTTTGAAGTAATGGGGAGTACTTACTATAACTTATTACACATGATATACATACTATATACAAGGTACCTACACTCATTACATTTCGATGTGAATGGAGTAATGAAAAGTACTTGCGATGCTCATTACACATTGAAAGGTACTTACTATGCAATTACACTCATTACAGTACAGTGGGTACTTGAGAAGTACTTGCTAACTAAATACCCCACTTTTCCTAAGCTCTTGCTTCGATATGCATGCCGTGTATGCTTGCGCCCAGCCGGTTCCTCTCTAATCTTGGCGATTGAGAGTCAAGGATGTACGGACTTCATCCCCCATTTATGAAAAAACAATTATATCTATTATTTAGAATGTACTTAGGGTACAAAACGTTATGTACGCTACTTAGATAAAAGAGACCAGAGATATAACATACACCGGTTTTAAACCTGCGCAAATGTTGCCAATTTCTAAAGAAGGGTTAACGGAGTGGGGGAACTGGGCGGCGACACGCGGCGACCCGAACTCTGTGACAGGGACCGGACTTTGTTTATTAGCAACTTAATGAACTATTAAGTTTATTTATAAGGTGTTTAATCGAATTTTGTATTATGAAATCAAATTATCGTGATTTTTTAATATCAAACAGATGCCACGACATTTTATGTAAAGAGAAGACCTTTTATAGAATATTTCGTTAGCGTTTATTTACTACGGACTTTTCTGCAAGAGATTACAGTAAAATGTTGAAATAGAATATATTGTTAATAGAGCAAAAAATGTTACTCATTGTCTACGAGTATTATAAAAATAGCATGTGCCCAGGCTAATACTGCAAATCTACCCTTATGAGTTGAACATTATATTTTTTCTACGGCTATTACATATTATTAAAAATTAGTCAAAATGAGAAAATGCTGTTTTGTATTGTAACCTCAGAAAAAGTATATTAAGGCTTCTTTCTTTAAGAATATTATTTATTATAAAGGATGAGTCACATAAAACTCTAGAAATGCATATGTCTGAAACCAGATAACATTTTAAAATTTAAATCTATTAAAAGTCATTTGGTCGCTAGGGATGAGTGATTATCGAAATAAATTATCGATAATTGAAAATAATCGATTATTTTCGATCAATAGATTATTTTCAAACAATATATTTTTTGTCATTTCCTTTAAAATCGACTACTTGATTATCTTTGAAAAATCAAAAATAATCGATTAATTAAAAAGCCAATTAACCGATAAATCAGTGTTTACAAAATATATTATAAATAGAATTATTGTTTATTTTAAATAATCGATTATTTTCAAATAAACCATTTTTTTTTTCGTCCATGGAAACAGATTATTCGATAATCTTTGAAAAATCGAAAATAATCGATTAATCAAAAATAATCAATTAATTAAAAAGTCGATTAACTGATAAATCGATTTAAAAAAAAAACAGAATGATCGATTATTTTAAATAATTGATTATTTTCGATCAATCGATTATTATCAATAATCTATTTTTATTGTATTTCCTTTAAAATCGTTAATTCGATTATCTTTGAAATACCGAAAATAATCGATAATTCCAAAATAATCGCCTAATCGAAAATAATCAATTAATTAAGAAGCCGATTCTATGATAAATCGATTATTACCAATAATCTATTTTATTGTATTTCAAAAATATTCGATTAATTAAAAAGTCGATTAACTGACAAATCGATTTTAAAAAAAACAGAATGATCGATTATTTTAAATAATCGATTATTTTCGATCAATCTATTATTATCAATAATCTATTTTTATTGTATTTCCTTTAAAATCGATAATTCGGTTATCTTTGAAATACCAAAAATAATCAATAATTCCAAAATAATCGCCTAATCGAAAATAACCAATTAATTAAGAAGCCGATTCTATGATAAATCGATTTTCCAAAAAATAAAACTAATTATCTATTATTTTCTAATAATCATTTTATCATATTTCCTTTGAAATTGATTATTCGATTATCGAAAATAATTGATTATTAAAAAGCTGATTATCCAATAAATCGATAATTTTAAAAAAATAACCAAAATATCGATTATGTAAAATAACCGATTATATTCAATCGATTATTTTCATATAATATCTTTGAAAAATCGAAAATAATCAAATAATTAAAAAACCGATTAAACGATAATTTTGAATAAATGTACTTTTTCTGTATTTCCTTTAAAATCGATTAATACATTATCTTAAAAAAAAACGAAAATAATTTATTAAAAACAGCGGATAAATCGATTTTCATTAAAAAATATCAGAATTATCGATAAATCGATTTATTTTTGTAACCCCTATTGGTCGCTTGCTTTTATCTGAGCATTTAGCTCCAAAATTTAGAGATTCGGATTTTTTGATCCAGTTATCTTTGAAATCGCATTCGCTTGTATAATAAATAAATATTGCTAAATTTTGGATTTTTTTTAGTAAACGAAAATTATGTTCGAGTTGTTTAGGGGTTTGTAATGTAACATTTTATTAACGTGACTAAGGGTTGATTCCACCGTTGTGTTAAACGAAGTTTAAAATGACATTTTTACATTAACACTGTCATTTTAATCTCCGTTTAACACAACGGTGGAATCGGACCTAACTCCTGTAACTTTAGTATTTTTTTTTTGTTTATACTAGATTACTTTGTTTTAAGACTGAAAATTCAATGTCACTTTCGATTTGACCGCAAATAAGATGAACCTTGAAATTTTAAGTAGGTCATCCTGTATTTCATCTAATATTCTTATAAAAATACCTTATAAAAATACCTTATAAAAATAAAATTTAGCTAGCAACTATGATTCTTTACCTCTTATTTATCTACCAAAAAGGGCTAAAAACTACCTTATAAAACTACTTTTTAAATACAAAATTTCGTTAGCAATAATGTCTATTTACTATTTATTTAAATTAAATGTTCAAAATTTTACCCTTTTGTAAATTTATGTAAGTAATATGAAATCTGATGCTTAATATTTATTGAAACCCCTTAATGCGGATCTGAAGTATTCAGCCCAGAGAATCATGGCGCTTTATGTCAAAACGTTAATAAATATTTACCGCTAAAAACGAATATATTCATAACAGTAGTACTTGTATTATAAGTACATACAATTTTTCAAGATACATCGTGACATTTTGAACTTGAAATTGAATAGCTAGAACACTTTAAATTGCTAAAATACCAACAAATAAATCAAAAAACAGCTGTCAATGGTGATTAAACTCAGGTGGAGGTGTGATCGCTGAATGGAAATCGGAGCAATTCGGGTGGCGTCGTGCAACAATGATTTTCAATTGGTGGGTTACTTTGGCTTAAAATAGACAGCATGCGCAGTGTGCAATGTTACATCTTCGGTCTCTTTAATCTAAGGTACGCTACAATAGTAATATCCGAGAGGTACTTAGATTAAACTCATTAAACTTCATTACATGGATAGCAATTACTATATATACAAGATACCTACACTCATTACATTTCAATGTGTATGGAGTAATGAGAGGTACTTACGATAATTGTTGTGTTAGGTAGATGGACAACACTAATAATGCAAATCCACATATAAACTTATTTATTATTTCACAAAAGTCCATGAGAACACATCTCGAGCCGGTAACAAGAGTTAGGTTAGGACAATGTGTCTCTAGCCACGATGCCGGATCGCAGTGGCTAAGGTGACACAACAATAATCATTACACATGGTGAATAGGGTAATTGAAAAGTACTTACTATGCAGTTACACTCACTACATGGTATACAGAGTATTTGGGAGGTACTTGCTAATTGCGCGAAGGGTGGGGGTGGGTACTTAGGGTAATTACTAATTACATCAATTGCCTCTGACCTTGCCTCTGACCTTGGTCCAGAACTGGCTAATCTTAACTACTCTGTATACTCATTGTAACACTTATGAAATAGAATTTATTAAATTTTTTAAAAATAAAAAAATAAAGTTATTATGAATTACCTATTGTACTAAAATAAAATACCTTCTTAATATTTATTTTACTTTTTAGCATGGTAAATCTTCAAAAAAGACTAGACCACGGTTTAAAAGTATTACAATATTACACTACAAGGCCATGGTTTTTCCATAATGATAAATTTGCTAATCTTTTCGACACTTTGAATGAAAGAGACAAAGAAATATTTTATTCTAATAGAAAACCTATAAACCACAACGAATATTTTCTTAATTACGTACTGGGTGCAAGAAAATATTGTGTCAAAGAAGAGATCGACACTGTTCCGCATGCGAGGAAAGTTATGAGAAGGTATGGTATTAAATAGTTTATAAAATACACTTAGTTCATTATTTTGTCTACCGTCTACCTTCCAAATAAAGAGACTGGGAATGGTGTACTCACCAAAAAAGGGCAAATAATTAAACGAATACGAGAATGTTTATTATTAAAATTTCTTAAAATCAGGTGAGCGCTATCGACTTTACAAAACCATCATCACTACCTTCGTGAAATGAGTTATGTATTTTTTAATATATTAGTTTTACAATAAAATAGTAAAAGTAGGTTTGATAAGATACCTCGACAAAAAAAAATTGAAGAAAATATACAATATATCAAATAAGGTCTTGAACATTAAAACACGCCCTTAACATTTACTTACAATTATTTATTTTAGGCATCGCTGTATAATACAAATTAGATGTAGTTGACAACGTCGCCGAGATATGCCTTCCAATTCTCGCCAAACACAAATCTTCTAATATGAGAACGTCGGATAATCGTAGATGATATGCTCAAAATCTTATGCTATGGAGATGCTTCCATACTTTTTAATAACTAGTTAGAATGCCTGTGATCAGGCGAATAGTCTGTCTAGTCATATTCAAGTAATTGTCAAGTAAGTGTTGCCAGGGTAACTTAAAAGCTCCCTGGCAACTCTTTAGCGCAGGGATGGGGAAACTTTTTCCTCCGCGTGCCAATATTTACTAACGAAATATATGGCGGGCCAAGTTGTTGATTTTTTGGCTATATTATTTATTGAAATAAAAATTATGATATGTATTTTCTGAAACACTAATTTATTGTGCAAAATTACAAAATATTAATACAAGAAAGAAATTGCAATTAAATTAAACTTTTAAGTTGTCTGCGAAGTAGAAGGATGAGGAGCGCTGTAGGGACATGTGACATGTGGAACTGTTTTTGTTTCTGCATGATGTCATCATAAGCCGGCTCCATTTGTGATGCTGAAATTTTTAACAGTGAAAAAAGGTGGTCATCCGAAAGCCTATTACGAAGACAATTTTTTCTTAGTTTCATTATTGAAAACGTTTGTTCGCACAAATAGCTTGTACCAAACATAGCCATTATTTTTTGAGCGTGGGCAACTATATTTGGGTATTGTGTCCTAGATATGGACTTATAAAATTCCAATTTGTTGGTGTTGAGAAATAGTTGCTTCAGATGGGTATTGCATTGCATCTCAATTAGTTCAAGTTGGAGGTTAGCGGGTGTTTCATCAACGTTAACATTAAAAGGCATCGAAAAAATATTTAGTGACTGCTCAATTCTCTTAAAATCTTGAAATCGCTTCTCAAATTCCTCGTGCAGTTTCTTCAGTTGTTGAGCGAACCTATTTAACTTGTCGTCTGAGACAGGTGATATGCTGCTCAGTTTGGGAAAATGGGTAAGTTCATTTTTCTCTACACAACTGCAAAACAATTTAAGCTGCAATTTGAAGGCTCTTAAATGTCCCCAAAGCTCATCTAAGAATTGATTCTTTCCCTGAAGCTTCGTATTTAATTTATTTAGGTGTGACAGCAAATCTGTGAAAAATGCGAAATTAGGAAGCCAATTTTCGTCAGCCATGATCTTAAAGTCGTCCCATTTACCTTGCTCCGTCAGAAAGTCTTGAATCTCCTTTCTTAAGTTCCACACTCTCTCAAATGCATTACCACAGCTTAACCATCTCACTTTAGTATGGTAAAGGATATCAGAGAACTCGCTTTCGGTGGATTTTAGAAATTCTTGGAATTGTCGATGCATCAAACCCCGTGAACGTATTGTGTTGATAAGTTTAACAACCACACTCAAAACGGGTTGTATGTCAATAGCTGCTTTACACAACACATCCTGGTGTATTAAACAATGCAGAAATAATACATTATTATTAGGATTTTCTTTGCAAAATATACCCATAAACCCCAAATGGCTTCCCACCATATTGGGTGCTCCATCCGTGGTTATGTTACATAATTTATCCATAGGCAAGTTAAACTTTGAAATACCCTCAAAACAAGAATCGTAAATAATTTTTCCAGTTGTTTTTCCTTTCAAGGATTGTAAGCATGCTAATTCTTCGGTTATGTTGAACTCTGAATCAATTGCTCTAATAAAAATCAGCAATTGGGCAGTATCGTTCATGTCTGTGCTCTCATCCATGGTTAGAGAAAAGTATTCAAATTTGTTACAATTCATTTCTAGCTGTGACGATAATTGTTTAGCGATGGCGTCAATTCGATCAGTTATCGTTCTCCGTGATAAAGCTAAAGATTGAAACTCTTTACTTTTTTCTGGACAAATAATGTTGCTTACAGCCACCATGCAATCTTTTACAAATTCACCATCCGATAATGTTCTGTTACTTTTAGCAATTTTGTAAGCTACAACATAACTTGCCAGTGTTGCAGCCTTCTGAGTAACAGATTGCTTTGTGAACATGTTCTGCTGTCCACGTAACTTCTCTTTTTGCCTTTCAACAAAAGACTTTTTCTCTGCTTCCGTCATAGATAAATATTTTGCACTTGCATGTTTTTTTGAGAAGTGTCGAGATAGATTAAAATCTTTAAAAACTGCAACTGTTTCATTACAAATGAGGCAAACTGGTTTGTCTTTAAATTCTGTGAAGAAATATTTCCATGACCATTCTTCTTTAAAAACTCGACACTCAGAATCGACTTTTCGTTTTTTGGTCGTCATTTTGCTGCTGTAACAAAACAATAAAGCCAACATCAATACATCGCCCAAACATATTTTATAATCAAATCATTTCAAGACACAAAAAGTGATGACAAAGTACGTAATAACATCTTACCTTGCTGATTTAAAAATGTCACCGTCTGTTAGCTGATTGTTGTAGTTTCGTAAGTAAGAAAATACGGCGTACGAACATGCGATTTGAAGTAAGACAAAACTTTGACTGCGGCGGCGGTCGGACCGCGCGCGCCCAGTCGATAGCTTCATTTTCGGTTTTCGTTTACCGCCCGTGCTCGTGAAATAATACACGTGATTGTTTTATGCGAGACGCGCTCTGTCAATAAGAATGAAATATGAAATTTCTACAATATGAAAAATTCACTTGATTTTTTGTTTAATGTTCACGACAGTCACGGGCCGGATTTCAACGCTTCGCGGGCCGGAGATGGCCCGCGGGCCGTAGTTTCCCCATCCCTGCTTTAGCGTCTTGATTCATCCCGTCTTTCCGTAAATTTTACAAGGAAATGTTCAAGGAGGAACGTAAGCTGGGACAAGAGGAGTGGCCTCCGATATGGAAAAATATACTAGAAATTGAGTTTCTGACACAAACCTTAACCAACACGTTTCAAAAAAATCCCCTATAAAAATAAGGGAAAAGGACTGACATGCTGTGTGGTGGAATCAGGACCATTAAAAAAAAGAGCAAAACTTTGTAAACTTATTAAACTGGCCAAAAAGTCGAAGAACTGGAAAACAAACAGGCGTACAGGAGAGAATATGGTTATTACATCAGGAAAGCCTAAAAAATTCCTGGAAGAAATTCTGTGACGGCATTGAAAACCTTCAAGAATGTTCCAAACCTAGAAATCATTACAGAGAGATAATCAAGAACGCATGTGATTTCTGAAAAATCAACAAAAAGAAATCACAAACACAGAGGAGGAGACTTTAGAAGTATTACTAAAGTCCCATTTCTCTGTATTGTAAGATTATCCTTGACCAAGAAAACAGGAGTATCCAGGAATTAGTTCCTAGTCCCTTAAAAACAAACTGAACTCTTGCAAATATAATAGTAAACAGAACAAAACTTGTATGGGCGATAAATTCCTTTCAACCATACATGACAGCTACAGGGCCAGGAAGTATTGGAGGGATCACTGTGTAAACTATCCCTAGCTAGCATAGACCTCGGATATTAATCGATAGATATATACCGGGGCGATGCTCTACAGGATAACCCAATACCAGTTTGCCTACCAATCTAGAACGTCTTGCGATGCAGCCATACATAGGCTAACTCAAAATGCTGAACAAGCACTAGGAGTTTTCCTAAAAACATTAAAGAAGCCTTTGATTCGGCCTCATACAATTCAATACTGGGATCTGTGTATAGGCGCGGGTAGCAGTAGGTTGAGTTCAAGCTTAATTGAATCGCTTATTGTTAAAAGGAACTAAGTCACTTTTTAACGTTTTTGACTTTAAAACATGAAACGAAACTTTGAAGATATTCCTTTCGTTTGTTGAAGAAGGTACCGATAACTACCGCTAAAATAGTACACAAGCACGGTTCCTTCTTACATCAAACGAAAGGAATATCTTCAAAGTTTCGTTTCATGTTTTAAAGTCAAAAACGTAAAAATGTGACTTAGTTCCTTTTAACAACAAGCGATTCAATTAGAGAACCATTACCAGTAATCTCTTTAACACAAGAGATATCTCAGTTGACAATGGATGCCCGTAGGGAGAAATTTTATCTCCACTTATGTGGACCTTGGTGGTTGATGACTTCTTATGGATGTTAGAGAGAGAGAAACCTATATATAGGCAAGCATTTGGAGGCGACATAACCATTGTTGTAAACGGTAAATTTGGGGCTGTTGTTTCCGAATGGATGTAGGAGGCATTAATTATCGTCTAAAGATGGTGCCTAAAAGAGAGATTGTCCTCAAATCCGATGAAAACCTTTGTTGTTGCATTCACAAGAAAAAAAAATTATTTGGAGACAACATCTAAACATGGCATCTTCGAATCACCCCAAGCTTAGCTTCTGCACCCATATAGAAAATCAACAAAAAAAAGCTGTGATAATACGATGGATCTCTATTCGGATGGCAGAGAACACATGGGAGCTTAAACCAAGTATAATGCATTGGCCTTATACCATGGTACAAGGCTAAAAGCATAACATCTAGCAGAAAATCAGATAAGGTACAAAGACTGACCTGTTTAATAATAAAAGGGGTCTTTAGAACTACGCATACCGCTAAGTCTTCATTCATTATACCTCGTGGTGGAAAAGGAGGCTGTAACGGCAGCCTAAAGGTGTTTACTGATGGATTTGAATAAAAACTTTCGAGAAAAGATCATAATACAATGATATTAGAGAAATTAAATCAAAATATGTTGTTAAAAATACCATCGGATAGAACATATTTTATTCAAGACTTTAGGAAACCTTTCGATATTCAAATACCACAAAGAACCAAAAGCTGGGAAATTAGGGAAATAAAAAACGAATCAATCTGGTATACAGATGGTTCGAAGATAAGAAACAGCACAGGAGCTGGGATTTACCATGCGAACTCAGGGAGGACACTTAGTCTAAACCTGGGATCACTGGCAACAATCTTCCAGGCTGAAGCATCAGCAATAAATGCGTGCCCTAAGGCACTCTTTTAGATATAAGAGGGTCTCTATTATGACAGACAGTCAGGCAGCCCTTAAAGCACTGAAAAGGGTAGAAGTACAATCTAAGTTATTATTTGATTGCCAACAGTCGCTCCAAGCCCTGGCAAAACATAACAAAGTCACTATTGCATGGGTGCTAAAACATGAGGAATGTTGGGAAATGAAAAAGCAGACCAAGCCAAGAAAGGAACAGAAAACTTTAATTGGACCAGAACCCACATGTGGTATATCATATTAACATGTTAAATGGGTGATAATGAAACAAATAGGAAACATAGGCGCTGGTTGAAACTTTCTGTATTTAGACAGTCTAGAATATTCATAGAGGTTCCATCCAAAAGCAGACAAAATCAACTACTAAACATCAGCAGAAATGATCTAAAGGCAGTAATAGAACTCTTTACGGGACACTGTGGCATAAGAAGACATCTAAATATCTTAGGGATATGTAGAATATGTGAAGAGAAGGACCAAACTCCTATTCACATACTAGACCACTGCCGGAATCTTAAATGGAAACGAGAATGGCACTCTGGAACCTGAAGAAATCTAAAAAGCACCCATCCGACATATTCTTGAATTCATCAAGAATATTAGTCTGATGGGGTAGAAACTGAGAGGGGTACAATAAGCCTACAGCTTCAGTATGAGTAGGCTTGAACCACACCTTAATTCCGATATATAATTTGGCCAAAACTTCGCGACATTCTAGTACTAACCCTAAGTGAATTCGTGGTATGTCCAGGATGAGTAGTGTTTGTCCAATAACTGTATAGACCAGCATGTTCCTTCCAGTGATATTGTTTCTGGTAATATTTATTTTGCTGATATGACAATCCCTATTACTATCCCCATGAGCTCAGTTTAAACTACACTAGCACTATTGCTCACAGCAAATTTCATGCTTAGGTTTAAGAATATTGAGTATATTCCACATCCTGAGCCTCAGCAATTATATATTTTTGATAATTTGGTTCTAATTAAGTTTCATAAATAATGTCTAATTTATACTATTTTATTGTAAACATACGTATATTACTATAAATTATATTATTTTAAGAAGATTCACGATGGCTTTGTAAAGCCGAAAGTTTTTGCCTTATTTTAATAAATTTGAATTTTTTACAAGTAGCTAACTTTAAAATTAGAGTAAAATTAGAGTAGAGTAAAATTAGAGTAAAATTAGAGTAAAATTAGAGTAAAATTAGAGTAAAATTAGAGTAAAATTAGAGTAAAATTAGAGTAAAATTAGAGTAAAATTAGAGTAAAATTAGAGTAAAATTAGAGTAAAATTAGAGTAAAATTAGAGTAAAATTAGAGTAAAATTAGAGTAAAATTAGAGTAAAATTAGAGTAAAATTAGAGTAAAATTAGAGTAAAATTAGAGTAAAATTAGAGTAAAATTAGAGTAAAATTAGAGTAAAATTAGAGTAAAATTAGAGTAAAATTAGAGTAAAATTAGAGTAAAATTAGAGTAAAATTAGAGTAAAATTAGAGTAAAATTAGAGTAAAATTAGAGTAAAATTAGAGTAAAATTAGAGTAAAATTAGAGTAAAATTAGAGTAAAATTAGAGTAAAACTAGAGTAAAATATTTACAAGGATTTTGAACCAGAAGTTAGTTTAATATAGGCAAGTTACTTTATTTTTTTTTTTTTTGAGAAAATCTCTTGTATCTCAACTCTATTTTGAGCGTACATTTTATGCAAATAATAATAAAAATATTTAAAACCTGAAAAAATTATCTGACCCTTAATGTATTAAAACAGTCTACATAAAATTTGGGACAAAAATTACTGTATGTTCTAGTTATGGTCGTACTCTTCTGTCTATATAATAGGTTTGGTACCACAGAAATAGTCAAAATAATCTACTGTACGGATTATTCTTAGTAAATGGCTTTCGGAAACCTAGTATTACTTAATTTTTTTCAATTTTTAAGATACTGATTAAATTTATGAAATATTCTCAATTTTTGTATGAACTAATATAATTTTTATTTTTTAGGTTATATTTTTTGGATCTTCTAAAAGACATTATCCTTTATGGAATAATATTATGGTTATTTTATTTATTCGTTTTAAAATTCTTTGAAATAATTGGAACTCCTCTTAATTAATGTGGTTTTGTATTTATTTTAAACATTTTTACACTTAACTTAACAATAAATATGTAATATATTTAAGTCCTTTTATTAATCAAATAAATTTCCAAGAAATGTAAATATAATCCGTCCCTGTCTTCATGGCTAATATTTTATTTGAAGATACAATAATCATGAGTAAATACTATATCAATTTAGATGTTTCCTGTGATATTTTTGAAGTAATCAATCAAGCAAACAAAATCATTCGAAGGGGTAATCATATACCGATATTATTAACATATTTTCATGAGTTAAAAGAATTGGAAATGTCGACAAATACTTGCTACATTTGCATGATGAAATTTTCGATAATTTTTTCATCCTTAGCCTACTCCTTCGTAAAATTTAATTGTCAACATACTCGTAATCCCTCTAGAAAGCCTCTTGTACGGTGTGCACCAGCTAGGCAATTTTTATGCAATTTTCTTCTTATTTCTGTATACATTCTTGGATTATTAGAATTATATTTCACTCTAAAAGAAGAGGATGTAGCAAATGATAACGCGTCAATGTTGAATACTTTGGAACTTGTGACTACATTGGGCATAATAAAAACGTTGTTCATAGCGAATATACATTGGAAAGAAAAATTAAAGGAAATAAAAGTGATGATTTATATTTCCGAATACCTAAAGAAATTTGCCGTGGAAGATAATTTGTATACAGTAAATTATATAGTTTCAGTTTGTTGGGCAGCTTATTCCGTTTTATATTACGGTAGCCAATTTTTATTGTATTGGCTGAATGAACCAGTCAATTATCTGTTGTATTTAAAAAGTATAAATAAATTGGTTTTTGGTAAGTTTATCCAAATTATTATTTCAGGAATGCATCAGAATATTATTATTATTAATTAAAAATAGTAGTTAAGTTTTAATATTTAAAATTCTCTGTATTAAAAATATGATTATAAAGGATGATCCATGAGTTGATACTTATTTTTTAACTGTATAGATATCAATTAAATAAACAATAAAAAAAAACTCAAAATAAAATAAAAACATAAAAATCACTTTATAGAGGGTCTTTTGGTACTTTTTGGTGTATTTCTGTTACTTATGATTTTCAGAAGAAAATTCTTTGGGTATTATTTTCTATGATTTTTGTTCTTAAAATGGACCGTATTGAAGATATTTGATGAAAAGTACAAATTCATTTTTTTGACCAGGATCTAACTTTAGTGGAAAGTCATGTGTTGGGACACATCAGATATAAATACAAAACAATAAAAAATTCAATTTTTAATTACCACCAATTTGAGGAGGGTTAGGTGAAGAGAAAAAGAGATTGCTCCTGTTTTATATGCGACGGTTTTTTTAGCTTGTTTTTCATTTTTTCCTTATCCGAAATTTTTGTATTTTTTTTTTTTATTTAATGGCCTACATAGCTAGGATGATACAGCCATTTAGTAACAACAGATAAATAATTACAATATTTTACAGCTTAATTTTAGACATTTGTATAAATTTTGATATTTTTAACATTACCGAAAAACAGAAGCTTAAAAAATATATCTAAAAGTGTAACAGGTACTATAAAGGTTTTGGGATATCTAAACTCTCTAAAAATGTATAAATATTATAAAAATTATTCTGACAATTAAAAAAAGATGGTGTAAATCCTCCCGTTTTCCACACGTACACAACATTTTCTTTTATACTTATTTTCTTGAGATTCACCATACTCAAACATGACCGCTTAATCTGCAAATGGTACTAATGTCCTTTCTATCCAATTTTTTTATTTTTACCAACCACGGTCTCTTTAATGGAATTAGATTCACATCTCCATATAGTCTCCCTTTAACTTGCCATATCACTTTATATTCCTCCTATATTGTTCAAATCGCGATGGTGATGTGAAGTTGAAGTTCCGTATAGTGTGAATAGACAGCAAAATTAGGCATTCCAAACAAATGAATTGCAAGTGGGAAGGTTTGGTATATCTAAGGGTGGCGACATACGGTGTATTCTATCTACTTTACGTAAAATCATGAATAATGGATTACATTTAAATATTTTATGTCAAACACAATACAAATAATATTTAAAAAACCCACCTATACATTTCTTCATAAATTGGCAGGCTTGGCGACTACTACTTCGAATAAAAATAGTGCCCAAGTTGCAAGACTATGTCGCTATCCCCTTAGATATACAAGAATTTCCCACTGGCACCTATTGTTTGACAGGTCGTTGGAATGCCTAATTGTCGTGAGCAGAGATAAGGGAGATAAAGATAGGAAACGCCCATAAAAAGCCAATTAGGCATTCCAACGACCTGTCAAACAATAGGTGCCAGTGGGAAATTATTGTATATTTAAGGGGGTAGCGACATAGTCTTGCAACTTGGACGCTATTTTTATTCGAAGTAGTACTCGCCAATAGAGATGGGAAGTTCGAATCTTTTTACTGAATTAATTCATTTGATTCATTCACCTAAAAAGATTCGTTCTCAAGTGATTCACTTTAGCGAACCACGAACGATGTTATTCCGCCGATCCGGCGAAAGAAATAACCGAACTTTTACGAATTTGAGTACTATCTAACCTACCTACTAGGTCGTCGAGTAAAATAATTATAACCAGATTTATTTTAAAGTAAAGCGAATTAATGTTTCATATTTCATAAAAAAAGGCAGCTGATTAATAAATACATCCTTGTCTGTTAAGATAAACAACAATAACACAATTTTTTTTAAATGCCAATTATATAGCCAAAATTAACGCAAAATTATATATTCACGATTCGTCATTTTTTGTTTTAATTTTACTTTGATTTAAATTTATTTATCAGACAACACGCATAAATTGTTTACCTAAGCTTAATACACACCTCCTGTAAAGTGAGAAAAACATTAAAGACACATACCGCCACCGCCTGTCAGTTAGAGTTCTCGTATTATGCCGTAGAACGTAGAACAAAAGCACCAATTTGCCGATGCCGATGTAAAATACCAAATCTTCGAATCCGAATCGAATGAACGAAGCAACCAAACTCGGAACTCGGCATATTTGATTGATCGCAGAGCCCTCGAGCAATTGACTCAAAAAAGATTCGAATCTTTTAAAAACAGGGAATCAATTCATTCGAGTCAGTGCACTGATTCGTTCTTTTTGAACGAATCGTTCGCGAACGACACACACCTCTACTCGCCAAGCCTGCCAATTTATGAAGAAATGTATAGGTAGGTTTTTTAAATATTATTTTTATTGTGTTTGACATAAAATATTTAAATGTAATCCATTATTCATGATTTTACGTAAAGTAGATAGAATACACAATATGTCGCCACCCTTAGATATACCAAACCTGCCCACTGGTAATTCATTTGTATGGAATGCCTAATGCTTAACAACGATCAGCTTTATCACAGTTAACATCTGACCCACTATTTGGCGCTTTCATCGATATCAAACAACGCAGCGGGAAATTTAAAAACCTGATAATAAAGGTTGCATAAATATCGACTGCACTCTCATGTTCTCTCATTTTCTTCCTATATCAAATCTTTCTAACGTTTTAAAGCCAATTTCTTTTCTAAAACAATAAATAATACATAAACACCTACTTTGTAACAAAAGTTGATTACTATTTGTGTTACTTACATGAATAGATCTCACCTACTTTGGTTAATTAAAAAACGCCACATTGGGGTTGTTAAATTTGTTCATGTGGCATGTGTTACTAATGCAGTACGTTCTCCGACTTATTGTAATATTACAAAATATAATTGTTGTCCTTAAATTTCACACAAAAAGAGCCACAACTATTTCGCTTAGTTTATCTAGAGGATAACACAATCATGAACTTACAATTTAGATTCAGTATTCTTCGATATACATAAAACTGAGATTTATATTTACAAACTGACCACTGCTGTACGTCTACTGTCTGTCTCAGTGTTGCCAACCGTACGATTTAAATCGTATTTATACGATTTTTTAATTATCTGTACGATGTACGATTTCATCAGTGAGATCGTACGTAAAAATACGATCTTTACTTTTTTAGTAGGTTTATTTAAATATCTGCAACAACTTCAGAATATAAAACAATAAAAATGAAAAACTACTTGCAAAGATTCATAGGCCGTTCGTAGTTTCTGAAGGCAGTCATTTTTGTTCTGACTTATCGTGAAGTGACAGTCATTTATTACTTTAAATATGTTGATTTTAAAGTTTCATGTATTTTCTTTAGTTTTTTTTTTCGTTGTAAACATTTTTATAAATAGATAAATACATTATCACATCATAGCTTGTTTTTTTCATTCCATTTAAATTATATTATGCTATGCATGTATCTATTGTACAATTTTTGTGTCGAAATACCATTTTTTACTCTACTTGTACGATCTCTCAAACAAAACTATTTGGCAACACTGGTCTCTCTACAAACGACTTAGACCTGTAGTTAACATCTGAGACGCTAGATGACGCCATCGTTGCTGCGTTTCCAATCTTTATCTCCCTTATCTCTGGTCGTGAGGTTATCATGCCGTTATCATCTCTGTAGTGCGAATTGACCTTAAAAACTATTGACAACATAAAATACAAGTATTAAAAGTAATTTTAAAAAACCGACTTCAAAATCGTGCAGATTCCATCACCACATCTTAACCTAATTTATATGGGACCACCAATGAGGTACCTCCTTTCTAACAAAAAAAGAATAATAGAAATTGGACAAGGTGGCAAAGAATTATCGCTAAACATACATAAAAAAAAATAGGTAATTATTGCGAAGACGCCTTTTTCTTAAAAATACAATTTTTTTACAAAACTTACATTTTAGACTTTAGGAAGGAGAGTATTTTTCAAATATGCCACCGGAAACCCCATAAATTATAAGAATCATTAAGTGATCATTTATATAAACTTATTCATTAGAATTTAGAATTATATCTGTCATGCTATGTCAATTCAAATATACGCTGTGTTGCCAAGTGTCAAAAATTGCCCTTTTTTTATATAACATTTCCATACACTTTAAAGGTACCATTTCGGTAGGCGCGACAGACGACCGCCGACGCGACCGAGAAGTGTCTCTTCACGTCTAATGCGCGTATGCACCGTATACGTTTAATCCAGATCAAGAGTCCAATCGCGTTTAGTACCATATTTAGTTATGGTACTAAACTCGATTAAACCCTTGATCTGGATTAAACGTGTACGGTGCATACGGGCGTAAAATACATACAATTATATGAAACACATTTCGCACGGGGCGACACGAGAAGTGACGTCCAGACGACACTTTTTGACGACACTTCTGAATCTATCTCGGGGCAAAGCATTTGCTGCGTATCGCACTCGAGGTCACTGTCCTCAGACATCGCTTCTTTTTGGAGGTGATTAGGTTGGACATTTCTTTCGATGTAGGCAGTGTTGCCAGATTTTGCAACAGTATGGCTGAAAAAAAAAACGTAGATCTGAACAGTAGATTTTAATACAGGGGGA